GCGGTGCACAGCGGTGGCGGTTTAAAAAAAAAAATACAACAAAAAAAAAATTGAAACAAAAAAAAAAATAGTAAAAACAGAAATTGCGTTATAGAAATATAACTATGTAAGTACAATATTGTATGGCAGAAGTAGTCAGTATATTTTTAATATGCATGTATTCGGTTGCAAAGTCGACCGCACGGCGAGCACTGTTTGAAGTCGGATTTTGTCCTGCTGTTTGTTGTGGGAACTGGAACTGCAACCGGTACCTGATGGCCGGAGAACTGGGGTTGGAGGTTGGGGGTTGAGGGTTGGGGGATGGGGTAAGCGGGAGTCTGACTTAGCACACGCGATGAAGACTGCGACTTTGCCTGACGGACTGTTGCGTGTTTTGAAGCCAACAATTTTCAATGTGCTTCTTCTTGTTTTTATTGTTCCTAACTATAAACTTTCTATTGTTATATATATGCACATACATCAATACACATGTATATGTGCATACATACATAAATATTTTACTTAGCTTGATTAAGAACAGACGCTTCAACTTTCGACTGTTGTTGATTATTGTTATTTAATGTTTATAGTTCGTCCAACAAGGCTCTCCACTCGAAGCGGTTAGCAAATTCATGATTTGCTCAAATTACCGTTGAAGAGCGAAATGTTACAGCAACAACAACAACACCGAGAAAAAAGCTTGTCACTATCTGATCGCAGCTGCTGCTGACAGACAGTGGGCGAGAGAGGGAGAGAGAAGTTAGGAGGCGCTTCACTGAGACTCACTTTGATTTGTGGGGCTTTCACTGCTCAAGCTTTAAAACAAAAACCCCAGTTATTTACGGCTATGAACGAATGTGAGAAACTGAAGCAATTGAAACGCATCAGTTGATAGCAGCACCGAGTTAAGCTTTGAAAAAGCTATAAATTTACAAACTGACAAAAACACTTAACTGTTGAATATATACAAATTTGTATTTGAATCGCACATTGACTAGCTTTATTTTATGAAGCTAATTTTGAATATATTCCAGCCCAGCGAGTTCGAATAATGAACGAGCCATTGCCAAAAGTCGTTTTTGTCATTTAGTGTTGTTAATTATTTTTATATATTTTGCTGCTACTTAGCTACTTATAGCTGTTGATCAAAATAATGATCGTACAAGGTTATTGCGAATTGTTTTCAATACCCACAATAGATCTGGTTATACTATATGTAGTTGTGGTAAGCTCGACTTACGGCAATTTGCAAAACAAATAATTGCCTGCGTCACCAACATTCGCAGTTGTTTTTAATTGTACATATATTATTTTTACTGTTCCCTTTGTTTTGCGTTTTGAATTCAGTCAATTCAGCCGAAAGCAACAAAAATGCAATTTCAAAATTACTAATTATGTTATTGACAAAAAGGCCGAGATGAAATTGAAATATCAATTTTAATGCCGATAAGATGCTGTACGTCTCTCTCTCTCTCCCTGTCTTTCTCTGACTCTCTCTCTCTTCTCTCCATCTGCTTATCTCATTGCTTCCCCATCTCATTCTTTTCTTTCTTAGCGTCTTTGTCTAGCACACACTCAATCTCCAAGACATATAGAATTGATCATTTTGCTAGACACAAATATGTGTGTAAATATTTTAATTAACTTCGTCAAAACTTGCACAACAACAGCACAACCGTATATAATTTCATTTTATTTATAACTTTTGTTTTTTTATTTACGTAGTGTTAGCACTTTAGCTTGGAAGATGATTTAATGACACACAATATTTCAAGAAAAAAACTAAAAAAAAAAACCATATTTTTTTATTTTTTTCATTTTTTTTTTTTTGCTTTGATGTTTTTTAAATTATAGTCTATTATAATTCAGTTTATTAATGAAAGCCGCTACAGAAATTACCGCAGTGAAAAAAACGTACGTCAAAATATGCGCCAATATAAAAAGGCCAAAAACAAACGAAAATTCCGCTATACACCTAACACTTTCGATGCTTCGCTTCGCACTGAGGCGCCAGACAGAGCTATTGACTGGCAGCGGCCCCAAAACCGGTCGCCATCATCTTCGGTGCACATCGTGTCGTATGTGTCGTTTTTGGAAATGGCCGCTCGTGCTGCATGCGCTCCTCGTGCGTTAGAAGCACGAGGTCCGCACACGTCTGCCTCCTCTCTGTCTCGCTGAATCTCGTTCTTACTCTCTGTAGTGCTCTGTCGCTCGGTGACGTTTTCAATGCCAAGCAAGCAGCTGTTAAACATACACACGCTTATTTGTTTTTTCATACCCTGTTCTCAAAATTAAATAAAGTTCACTGGCGAAGGCAAATCGTTTTGAAGTCGGAAATAATGCAACTGTATATCTCTCGTACTTTCAGAATTAGAGTCACCAAACTTGGAGCGTATATACTACTAATGACAGTCTTTCAAAATAGACGGCACACTTCCGTCTTAAAATTGCACAAACACTTCTCCTTAATTACTGATTTTATTAAATTAAAATTATTTCCGAAAAATAAAATATTTTCCCTGTAAAATAAAGTATTTATCGCCCAATGTAAATGGTGATTGCTAATGTCTTTTCTGACCATAAATGCTCTTTAGTTGGATCATATCATGTGTTCAATAAATCTGTACCGCAGGACAGTGTTTCCAGCTACTGTCAAAGTTCGATGTTATTTATTTCCTTGACTTCTGATATAATTCCAATTGTAAGTTTTTCTATGCATTTTTTTCTATACTTGCATTCATATCAAATAATAAAAAATGAAAGAAAATATGTGAAAGTTGTTTTCTGGAACAGAGCATTGCTTAATCGACTATGCCCGATCACGATGTACTTGCTTCTTGTTTGTTTGTTGCTGTTATTTTTTAGAAACAGCAGGAACTAACGGTCAAGGAGCCGCAGCGCTGCTCTACACTTAGATTTGAAAACTTACTCTCAGAATCGCTTTTCCCAGCTCCCCTTATCAAAACAGTCTGTACAGTCTGTTACAAATCACATAGGCAGCTTAACTAATTTTGTAGCTCTGTATCTTTTTGTTGGTGATGCACAGTAATTGTGAGATAAGCTCTTGCTCTGCCTATATACACAGATACAATACCCATACACACGACTGTGAACTTAAATATGTACACATATGCGAATTTAAGCCCTCTCTCTCTAATTATACCAACAGTGGCAAACACGTTATTCCGGACAGAGTAAAAATATGATAAGATTTTATAATATTTATAATTTCAGTGTGTGCAGAATTAAAATCAGAAAGATTATGCAAATTTAATATATACCTTTTCACTACTTTTATTGCAAATGTACTTAATCATATTAAGCTTTTCACTTTTGAGTGATTTTTTGATTTTTAATTATTAATTATAATTTTGCTGTTCAACCTCAGCAACAGAGCCGATATATCCATGTAAACTATTAGTCGCTTTGAAGCAATCTCAATGAAACTAACCTTTTTTTATACCTTTTTGATAATGTTTAATGATCGTGGAAATACATAAAACGTTTACGTTTGATTTTGCTACAGGTTAACTACTAGTCGACTACACTCAAGTGTCAAACTTTGACTTGATTTCGTAAATACTGCGAATAATGGGCAAACATTTTGTGATTTCTTTTTTTGTCTGTTTGTCAACTAATAGTAATACCATATATTCACATCTGGGCAGACAGACACTCATACATCATCCATTTACAAACACTCAAAAAAATAGAACACATCCAATTATGGAAAACTTGAAAAAATCGTATTGAAAACAGTACATTGATTTCACTCCACGAAGTTATATACATAAATTCTGTAAAAATGATTACTACTACTGCAAAGAAATATACCTATATATAATATAAATCATCTTCTAAGCTTATATTTTCTCAGTGTAAGTAGTCACATACATTCAAGATAGATCTGCCGCAGTAATGTAGTCTATTTGCCACAAATATGCACACACCAAAAATCCTCGGACATTGTACGGTATACAATGGGAGAAATTGTTCGCGTATTCATGACCGAATTACCCACTTTTAGAGCCACACACACTCACACACAGACACATACACAATTGCATAAACTTTTTGTGAACGGCAGAACAAACAAAACCATTGAAGGCACGCAAATCTCAACTATTATCAAAATATTTGTCAAATTTTGTAAACAAAATTGTGTCCTGTATGTGTTTGTGTGTGTGTGTGTGTGTGTGTGTGTGTGAGTGTGTGTGTGTGTATGTGTGTGTGTTTGTGGAAATGCAATCAGTCACATCGAAATCAATCAAAAATACGTACTTAACACGAAAAATTGAGAGCTTTAAAAATGGATTGAATCTCAGAAAAACAATCTTTCTACTTACATTAAAAAATTGTTAAATTCTTTTAGAAAAAGACAATTTGGCTTAAGCACGATTCCCATTGGCTGTATTTATGATTCAAATGCTGAGAACTACCCCACTCACCTTTTACCTAATCACTTTGCACATTTACTAAAATGTATACGGCATGGGAGCTTCAACCAACTGATTTTACGATATTCATCAGGTATTTATATCAGGTAAATATATATATATATATATGTGTGTGACCACAAACCCATTTAGATATCCATGTCGATATCATTTGGATACAAACATTTGCCAAGCGTAAAGTATTAAAATGTTTTCTCGCCCAATAGTCAATAAATGCATTGAATAGGAACAGAGGCGAAAGCAATAAAACGTCCACAAATATTAGCCAAATCTAGATAATCTGCAAAATGGCGTAATATTTATTTCTACAGGGTGGTACTAAATACCAAATATCAATAATTACGTTATTTTCACTGAACTCGGCTACATTTAATAGTGCAAATTGAAATTTATAAATGTAATGTATATAAAATTAGAATATACATCTGCGGAATGGCTTACAATTTTAACTTAAAATTGTAATTTCAAAGTTCGACTAATTTTGCTGTCATTTATGAATAGGCATTGACTTGAGTTTCAGTTCCATTGAGTTCGTTCCATTTTGAAATTGGAAAAACTGCCGCCATGAGCATTCGACACTACATAAGCAAGTTCGCACTGATGACATGGAAGTTACATAAGTCACAATGGAATCGTCCAATTGAGCTGCTTTGGGTAATATTAGTGCCTGTCCTTCTGTGCTTGATTGCGGTGGGCATGCGAATGTGTGTTGGTCAACCCGAGAGCTATAATGCCTATTATGATCCAATTGATATTGAGCAATGCTGGACCGATTTGATGAAATCGCTGTCGGAGCGCCAAGATCTGAGCAAAAAGCTCAATAAGAGCAACAATGTGTTCATTCCACAGATGGTGCTGGCCTGGGCGCCCAATCAGTACAATATATTTCATAAAATCATGGATCTGGCCATTAAGGATCTACACTCGATGGGCACACGCGACTTTCGTGACTGCTCAGAAATGGAGCGGGCTGTAAAGAATGATTATCTATTTGCAGGCATTTGCTTCGATCAGAGGCAATTTGTGAAGATCTATTCGTTTAGGGATCATCACTTAAAACAGGAGGAGGTGTTAATGCCGCACTTTAATTATACGCTCTTTTTCCCCAGTGAGCTGCGCATGTTTCATGATACCTTCATTGGCGACAATTGGAAGACACTCTATCATGACGATCCAAAAATCTCAATTGTGCGTCGCCTCAACGATGCCAGCTTAGACGGTCATATTAGCTATGTGCGCGAGGGGTTCATTAAAATCCAAATGGCCATTTCCGAGACGTATATAAAAGTGATGAGCCATTCACAGCTTCCTAAGATAGTGCTTCGACGATTTCCGGTCGATGGTCGCATACAAGATCCACTCATGAACTACGTAAATCGCGGACTGCCGCTGCTTATCATCATTGGCTTTCTATTTCCGGCACAGATACTGGTCTGGGTAGGTTTCAAATACATGCATGTCTACTCATCATATATACATATATATATATATATATATATATATATATATATATTTACAGCAAATCGTAGAAGAAAAGCAGCGCCATTTGCGTCGTTTTCTTATCAATATGAACATTAGCAACCTTATCCAATTCACATCCTGGTACTTCAAGGGACTCGTCTATATGTTCATCAGCTCGATCCTTATAGTGCTGAGCGTCAAGGTATGTTCTTCTAACGAACTCTTACTATAATATTATATAAATACTATTTGACATTTTCAAAATGATTTAATCGGATTGGGGATTGTCGCTTGATGATTACTAATTAATATAAATCCCAAACCAAATGTTCATAATGGCTTTCCATTTTGACTTTTCCTTAAGTACGCAATGCTGCTATTCACAGAAAATCTTTTTTGTCATATCTTAAGGTGCCCTGGAATAGTAATCGAACCCTGCTAACACAAACACCGTGGTATGTTGTATTGCTGGTGTTGTCCTCGTATAATGTATCATCGATAAGCTTTTGCGCGATGGTTGCCTCGTTGTTTAAGAACAGCCAGTTTGCCGTTCGGGTGGTGACCGTTCTCTGGCTGCTCACATATATGCCATTCTTTGTGCTGTGGAACAATCGGGAGAAATCGGTATTGCTCATACGGTATATATCGTGTGCGTTTCCCAACACTGTGGTCGCACTGCTATTCGAGGGACTGATGGAGCGGGAGATATTCTTTGGCCAACAATGGTTAGACAGTGGCTATATTCTGAACTCTGCCGTCAATCAGATCACTGTCTATCATGGCGTTTGGATTTTCTTGATAGACACACTGGTCTACTGCGCCATCGGTTTGTATATGGAAGTGTGGAATTCAACCGAAACGGGCGGAAGACGGCGCAAGCATATACCTGCTCCCCTCCATAGTGGAGACTTCTCATTTCCGGATCGGGAGGATAGCACCCATCCGCAGATCTCACAGCCAGGTGGCATCAAGTCGACAAAGATCTACGAGGTGGAACCATCGCATCGCCGCTTCAAAATCAAGATTAAAAAGATATGCCAACGGTATGCGAACAACAAAAACAGTTCCCTAAACTTTTTTTCCTTGAATGTGTACGAGAACGAGGTGACTGTCCTTATGGGACACAATGGGTGTGGAAAGACGACGCTGCTCCAGATACTCGCTAACCTATTGGAACCATCACGTGGTGTTGTCTTGGTTTCTGAAAAAAATACACAAATCGATGGCCATAATGCGTCCATGCAGATTGGTTTGGCTCTCGGCGATGATCTGCTTTTTAGGGACCTAACCGTCACTGATCAAATCCGTTTTATATGCATGATCAAAGGTATGTCATGGAAGAAGGCCAATGAAGAAATTGCATTCTATTTGCAGCTCTTCCGCTTGACCCACGCGAAGTTGTCAAAGATTAAATCCCTAACCGCTCCGGAGCGTAATCTCGTAAGCATTGCGTGTGCCTTTGCCGGCGGTAGTCCCATCGTACTGATCGACGATCTCCACTCCGATCTGGATTTGGTCACACAATCGCTCATTTGCAGCCTCATCAATGAAGAGAAATCTAGGCGTACCATCATCTTGGTATCGAACTCAACATCGCTTGCCAACCACTTGGCCGATCGTCTAGCGATCATGTCTCAAGGGGAGCTCAAATGCACTGGCAGCAAACCATTTCTGCGTAGCATGTACGGACATGGTTTTCGACTGGTATGTTGTACACTTGGAGAAATCAATTGAGTCTTCTCGATTCCATTTGCCAATGCCGAAGGTTTTATACGCTTGCAGATATATGATATCGATATTAGTCTGTCTATTCACATGTTTAATTCTTAGCGATTTTTATTTAAATATAGCAAACTTATTCTATTCTAATAACATTTCAGTGAGTTTGGTTAACATATCTGTTCATACAACAATCGATCGATTTTTGACTGAATATTCTCGAATTTAATCCATCCAAATTAGCCTCTCAGCTTAAAAGAGATCTTGATTAGAGTAAAGTGGATTGCTTACTTTCGGAACCCGAAGAATCATCAATGGGTTCCTTAAATTAATAATACAATTTAGACCAGGTGGTTTTCTGCCTGCAAGAGTATGTAATCTTCGGCGCGTCTAAGATACTATATCTTCTACATTATTTTCATGTATTTTTGTCCGTTGTATTCAGAGCTGCATCAAGGGTAAAACATTTGATTTTGTGAACCTAAAATTGTTGTTGGCCAAATATTTGCCAAATCTGACAGTAGAAAGCGATATTGGCCAAAAAATAACGTTTGTGCTGGAGACCAAGTACGAGGATAGATTTGCCAAACTGTTTGACGAACTAGAACAAAATCTGGAACAATTGGGCATACTCAGTTTTCGCTTGCGCGATACATCGCTGGATGAGATCTTTATGCGTTTCGGTTCCGAGGACAATGAAGTGACCGGTGAGCCATCAACATTAATCGACGATCTTAGGATGGTGCTCGAGGAGTCCGATGTCAATGGCCGGGCAAATGGACTCAAGCGTACAAGGATGCACCTCTGGGCACTGTTGAAAATGCGTTGGCTCATAAATAGGCGCCACTTGCCAATTCAAATCGTCAATGTCTTTGCACTAATTGTGGCCTTGGCATGCACATTTTCCACGTTATTGCTCTATGGAAAGGATTATCAGTTGGATCCGCTTTCGTTTAATCTGACACAGTTGACCTCTGTCAACGCCTTCGTTGAATACATATCCGATACTTTAGATATGATTGAGATGCAGGAGTTCTTCACGGAGCTGCTCTTCTGGTATGATGGTCATGTGCAGGAGCTGGAGACCGCAGAGCCTACGGACTTATATCTGCTGCAACAGGAGGAGTTTAACAAAATTGTTAATTTCCGTTACATGTTTGGCGCCACCTTTGGAAAGGACACAATAACGGTCTGGTACAACAATATACCACTTCACGCGGCACCATTCGGTCTCAATTTGGTGCACAATGTTATTGCACGGTAAGTTCCAATTTGAATGTTTATTTGTTATATTTATATGTTATGTTAAGCAAAGTATATGTTTTTAAATGTAGTGAAGATCATTTAAAATCTATTTACCTTCCTTGTCCAACCAATTGCAGACACTTCTATGACGAGGACGCTACGATTGATGTGACGCTGTATCCGCTGCCGTTTCAGGTTATGGCCAATGCAATGCCACCGACGCCACTTAGTTTGGGCGGCATGATGGCCATCAACTTCTCCTTCATATTTGCCAACATGTGGCAGAGCATGACCGTCTTCAACATGCTCGAGCACAGCTTTAAAAATCAACAGTTCCTCACAGGAGTACGCCTCTCCACATATATATTTTGCCTAGTTATTTTCGATATCGCACGAGTGGTGTTAGTTAGTATCGGAATGGTGATAATGATGTCGTTCTATCTTAGCCCACAACATGATATATATCTCTATAGTGCGTACATAATTATAAATGTTGTTAAATTAACTTGTTACTCATTTTGTTGACAACCTATACCATTGCAGTGTGGATTTTCCTGATGCTGATAATGATGGGCCTTGCCGTCGCTACATTGTCCTACTGTTTTTCCACCATATTCAAGGAATCGAACAATGCATTTATTGCGATAACTTTCCTGAATGCCCTAGGCATTATTATATTTACCGTTACTGTCGGCGATCATATGGCTGATATGAACGATCTGTACCAGCCACTAACGCAATATAGCTTCGGTGAGATCGTGTTCAAGCTATTCTTTATGTATGAGTACGAGTGCCTTTGTAAGGATGACAATATTCGGTTCATCTCCATAGAGGTCGAGAATTGTGCGGTGAATCCCCACTGTTGCAGTTAAGTATATTACTTCTATTAAATTCAACAGTGCTGACAGTTGGACTTTGGTCGCAATGATTATATAATCAAGCGCTTGTCCTAAATACATCGCTTAGAGTTTAACAACTTCCAAAGCCGCCCCATCATCTTATCGATGGGGTGCTACAACACTTGTAGACATTTTTAAAAACTAACAAAATGTTCGTGGCATGCCACAGTCTCGTACAGCTATGTCAAAGGGAATTTTGGTCTTATCTTCGATATGATTATGATGATATGTTCAATTTGCGTACCGCTTATTATCTTTGTTTTGAGGGAGTACTATTCGCTTATGGCGTGGACATTCATGAACCGAGGAATATCAAAAAAGAAGCATCGGGCACGCCACGAGGGCCTCGGTGACGATATGGGCGATGAGTCCGTAATTGCTGAGCGACTTCGTATCGACAAGCTCACCAAGCAGGAGAGAGCTGACACGGCGGCTATTTGCCAGAACGTTGGCAAACGATTTGGCAAGAAGAGGGTGCTAGTCCGCATCGATCTATGCGTATCCAGGTAAGTATCCTCAACCAAAATAAATAAAATAAAAAAAAAGAATTTTATTTGAATCATGAATAGCTCGTAATTGCTTCTGTCTGCAGGGCCGAGTGCATTGGTTTTATGGGCTACAACAATACCGGCAAGACAACACTTATCAAAACGCTGGTGGGCGAGATGCATCCGTCTCATGGTCGCATTTGGATAGGTGGCCACAGCAGGAAACAACAGCGCATCGAATGCTATCCCCTAGTCGGCTACTGTGCCCAGCAACACGTGCTGCCGTGTGAATTGACGCCACGCGAGCTGCTTCACACTCAGGCCAATCTGCACGGGCTGCCCAAGCAAAGTTGCTCACAGATCTGTGAGGGGCTGGCGAGTGTGTTGGGATTTTACGTTTGCTATAAACAATTGATGCGCCTTTGCACTACCGGGCAGCATCGTCGCATCGCCTTCGCTCTTGCCATACTCGGTGATCCGCGACTTGTGTGCGTGGATGGGCCACCGGGCGGCATCGATCCCAATGGCAAGCGTATCATGTATATCGTCACGACCTTCATGCAGCAACGTGGCTGCAGCTTCCTCTACACAAATCTCACGGGCTTGGACTGCGAACGCATGTGCCATCGCTGCCCGGTGCTACACGATGGCCAGCTGTCGGCAATGGGCTCACAGGCGCAGCGCTATAAAAGTGGCTATCTGCTGGAGGTTGTTTTCAAGCGGAAAGTGAGTGCGGACATAAACACCGCGAGGAACACCTGGGATCGCATTAATAAATTTCCCGTATCGCCACCCAACAAGTTCATTCTCTTCGTTCAAATTAAGTTTCCAGAAGCGAAGCTACAGTAAGTGATCATATACCATAGAATAAATATTAGCTCATCTAAATTTCTGCTTTGCTCTTAGGCAGAAGAGGGAGAATATTATGACATTCTATTTACCTGCCGACTCCACAAATTTCTCGGAAATATTATTGACAATACGTAGAGATGCCTTCGAATTGAACATCGAGGATTTTTATATTACCTGTAACATTGTTATGGGCATGCAAACTGATCTATTCGATCGTTCAGTCCTAAAAACCGCTCCCCCCCATAACTAAGTAATTCCAAAAATATATAGTATATTATAATAAATTATAATAAAACGCAATGTTCAAGTAGAGATGCCAACATGTCACAATCTCTTTATTATATCCTTTCCAAATAATTTAACATAGCCATACATATTGTCTTGATCAATTTGTTATTAGCTTGAATAAAAAACTAATAATTATGTATGCATTCGTATATTTAATAATTTCCACAAAGATATAAGTACAATTTAAAAATACTAGTTACACAATTGGGTGACTAATTTACCAACTGTAGCATTAAAAATTAAGAATACAAAAAGTCTAAAATCATAGTTTGCATTACTCTTGTTAACATTGCTGTGGGTAATTAAATAATAATTATAATAATAATAATATTATAAAAAAAAAAACGCACTTTCTTTAAAAAAACAAAAAATGTTGATTTTATTATCTACGATTAGATCACAAAATAGCAAAGTATTGACATTTAAAATGTTTACTAGCCATCTTTTTAAAATACTTTGTCAATATTTGCGTTCAAGAACTGAAGTTTTTGTGCTCAATGACATTTAAAAAATTATTTAATAATAACCGGTTACTATTTATGCACCGATGTACGGTGGTCGGAGTGTAAGGTAGGTCCAAGGTTGATATAGCCGGGAAAGTCTGGATGCTCAGCAACAGTAGCACTTTTTGCGGCCTCTGCTTGCATATAGATCGAATTATAATAATTAATATTTATACGGTACAATTAAAAGCAAAACTACTTTTTGCATAAAGTTTACAGCTGAAGCCAAAATTTACAATTTTCAATTCTACCTACGCGGTTAGCACAAATGAATAGTTTAGAAAGTGTCTGGTTAGCTTAAATGTGCACACAATACCTGTATAATAAAAGCTTAGGCATCTAATTAATGATTACAAAAAAAAAATAATAATAAATAAATAAAATAAAAACAATTGGCTAAGCAAATAAAATGAATATGACATGCAGCTAGCGGTTTCGGATAAAGCTTAAATTGTGCTAAATGATCGTTATGTGTATGTCCCTGTGTATAGGTAAGTGTGTGCTTATGTGATGTTTAAACCAAAATGCTAGCAACAGTTTATCAAAGGTAAATTCTAAGACCAGCTCACTTCATGGAGCGCGGATCCTCGCGTTGATACTTGGCGAATTCTAAGAATATTTCTTCCAATGTCGTCTGACTGATGGAGTAATCCTCCACATTCAGATCATGGCGATTACGCTCCATAAGACCAAAGATTTGCGACCATTTGACGCCATGCAGTGCAATGTAAAAGGTCAACATACCCTGGTACTCATCCCTAAAAATAATAGAAATAAAGTTCCATCACGTTCGCCACTTAAAATTGCCAATTGACTTACTGTAAAATTGACTGCGGAAATTCGAGATTCACAAACTCCTTGACTTTATTGATGTCCTGCTGTGCAAGTTGATTGGCTACTGTAATCTCGTCTGAATTGCGATTGAAGCTGATGGATCTGCTGATGGATTAAATATAAGTGAGTACTTTCTTAATAACATTCCGAATATTGACTCACCTGCGTGCTGATCGTATATCATTGTTGTTGCCCGCATACTGTTCATCTGAGCTTTGTGCATCCTTAAAAGCAAGACTGTGGTTCGAGTAGGCAATTGGCGTGGGTGCCGCACTGTTATCAGATGTAATTGAACCATTTGAGGCACGTATTCTACTGCTATCAGTATGCAGTGACCGCCTTGGCAAACCTTTAGTGCGTTTCACTTTAATTTTAAGTATGAGACCCTTAGAGAACTTGTTCTTCAAATGCTGCGTTGAGCCAATGCACTTGAACTCGCCATTGACCATGATGGCCAGACGTGTGCATAGCGCCTCGCACTCCTCCATGCTGTGCGATGTTAGCACAATGGACTTGCCCGAGTCGCGAATGCGACAAACAATATTCCATAACTGTCGTCGCGCTGCGGGATCCATGCCCGTGGTGGGCTCATCCAAATAAATGACAGATGGCGTGCCAATCACTGCAATGGCCGTACTCAATTTGCGCTTATTACCACCGCTGTAGGCATGCGTCTGTTTGTCTAAATGTTTCATAAAGCCAAATGACTTGGCCAAGTCCTCGGACAGCTGTTTAATGCGTGACGGTTGCACACCGCGTAGCAGGCAGAAAATCTTAAGCACTTCACGACCGGTTAGATCGTCTAGAAGCGCATCGAACTGCGGACAGTAGCCAATCTTTTCATATATATTATTCATTTCCATCTGCAAATTTAGACCCTGTACATATGCGGAACCCGAAGTGATGCGCTCATCTCCGGTCATCATTTTAAACGTAGTTGTCTTGCCAGCACCGTTAACACCCAACAGACCAAAGCATTCGGTTCTAGAAGATAAACCACAGATTAGTAGTTAATTCAAATATACAAATTCGTTTTTCTTACTCGTTGACGCAAAGTGACACTTGATTGACGGCGACGAAATCGCCATAATACTTTGTAACGCGATCCAGAACTAGGTTCTTGGTGGACAAAGTTGCGGAATCCATTTGTAGAATACGTTCGCGTTCGCTTTCCACATCATCATCGAGTGCCTCAACAGGCGGTGGTGGTTTACTACAAAAAGGCAAAATTAAAAAATAGTAATTTCGATCTAAACACTTTGTCTGAGAAAGACAGACGGACAGACAGACAACATAAATATTACGTTCTGCAAAACATAACATACATAAAAAATACTACTATAAACGGATGCCTAATGATACTTACACGGCGCGCCTGTGTATCAGATACATGAGTTCACCAACTACGCCGTATTCACTTAATATGATTATAAGGAAAAATACAATGGCAGTGACAATCATGTAGACAACTTCTGGCAGAACGCCGGGCGCTTCCCAGGCAAAGTAACTCTTTAAGTCTGTTGGCAGGATCAAAACGGAAAAAATAATGTATGAATAATGTGTAATGAGATAATTGGCAGTTTACTCACTGCAACATTTGGGCACCAGTTCGCAGACTAAGATGGGCGGCAGGCCACTGAATTTGTCGCAGGCACTACGCGTGGCCACATTGATGTATGCCTTGTTTAGACCCATGGCCAGCGAAAAGTGTGGAAAGATGCGGAATATCCAGGAGAGCAATTGAGCCGTATCCTGTGTGTTGAAGAACTCGAAGGACATGACAACGACGACAATGAACAAGGCCATGCCGGCAAATATATTTATAATGGATATACGGGCAAAGCCTGTCGCCGGCTCCTTAAAGAATACCGCCACAATGTATGTAAATGGCAGCACGGAGCAGCCAAAGATCAGCAGCAAAAATAAGTACCGAATAAGCTCAGAAAAGCGACTAAGGCCCGCCTCCTGAAAACAGGCAATTGTCACGACAACAATCACTGCGGTTACCGCATAGGTGGCCAAGTCCCAGATGTACTGTGATAACCAAAATGTGCACACCTTAACCCCGCTTACGAACTGCAGCAGCTTGGCGCGCGACTCACGCTCCTTGATCAGGAACAGTATATAGATGGCGCTAACGAAGCACATGCAGAAGCACAAATTGGTCGCCAGCTGTGTGCCCAGATTGTTGCCAACATTCAGCTGAGTCAGTAGGGTCTCTGTGGTATATGGCAGTGGCCAATTTGATACACTGATTTCCGTATTATTTTCACACAGTACCCGAGCGATCGCATTGTGCACCATATTAACGGTGAGGGGTGCCGTATGCAACGGTTGGTTATTGAGCCAGGCGGTAATTTTATCATTGCTAACGGTGGCCGCTGCCAAATAGCGTGAGTTGATCCGCACCTGTATCGTCTTGCCCAGATCAAGGATGTAATCGGTGAATGTTTTAGTGCCTGTGCTCTCGTATGTATATTCCGAGCCATATGACGTTGCCAACTCCTCGTACTGATCAGCAATCTGATTGCATAGCGAGTCACACGCAGTGTCATTGCGCTCCATTACAGTGGTCCCAATGGGATACTGTGGCAATTCAATCGTAATGGAAGGCAACTCACGGAATGTGCCCTGGGTGCGTGTTATAAGCACTGTGATAATTACAAAGAATATGGGCATAACGTTCTGTATGACGAGGAGCAGCTTGTTGCGCCACGTGTAGAGTATCTTCTTGAGCATCATGGCGCGCCATTGGTTAAGCGAAAGCTTCATCCCTTGCAGCGGTCGACGGTTGTCCGAGAAGACGCCATCCGCTGCAAACAGTGAATTGAGCTTATCAGTATATGAAGTCGGATAACCAGATATTCAGTTCAAACACTGCTTACATTGTATTGATTCGCTGTCATCTTCATAGCCAGTGCTGCCCTTTAGCCTGTTCTTTAAATCCATATTATTGCCATCAGGTAACTTCTCGGCACCCACCTTCATGAAAACCTCCTCCATTGAAGTGATGCCGACACCATAGCCATTCAGATGCAGCTCGCTGGAGCGCTCCTCCAGTTCGCTAAACATCTCCTCAAATTTCTCGGAATACTTGTCGGGCAGCTGGTACGTGAGCTCTGTACCAATATCACTTTCCGGCTCCAGTTCTGATATATACTTATTAAGCAGTTCCGTCACTTCCTCTGGCTTGCAATCCTCTTTCTTGACACAGATCTAAAAGATAGTAAACTTGTTTTTAACCTGATCAATAAACCTATTATATATTATTTCTTTTCTGTTGCTTTGCTTGAAAACTACTTCAAATGTAGGTGAATAAAATGTTTTATGTACTTACTAGTCGATAGCCAGAGCCGTATTGTTTCTTTAAGAAAAAGGATGTACCATGACATTTAAGCTCGCCATCGCACATGATGGCAATGCGATCACCGAGTACATCAGCTTCGTCCATAAAATGTGTGGTGAGCAGTAGGGTGCGGCCAATCTTTTCCTGTTGCAGCAGGTCCCATAGCTGTCGCCGGGCGGATGGATCCATGCCAGAGCTGGGCTCGTCACAAAGCACAACCTTGGTATCACCGCAAAGGGCACAGCAGACGGACAGTTTGCGCTTCATGCCACCAGACAATGTGGACGATGGGGCATTGGCCTTGTTCTCCAGTTCAATCATTTTAAGATACTTATCCACCTCGTTTTCCACCGCCCTGCCCTTCAATCCCTTCAAGCGACTGAAGAATCGCAAGTGATTGGACACGCTCATCTCATCGAAGAGCACATTGTGCTGTGGGCAAATGCCCAGAGACATTCGTGCCCCTTGGATATTGCTGGTTATATCACTGCCATTGATAATCGCCGTACCGGATGTGGGTGGGAACATGCCCGTCAGCATGGATATGGTGGTGGTTTTTCCAGCTCCATTGTGCCCAAGCAGTACGGTTATCTCATCCTCAAACATGTTGAGCGAAAGGCCCTTCACAACCATTTTGTCTCCAAATTTCTTCTTGAGATTTCTCAGCTGCAGGCCAATGTGTTTGTCGTCCGGCTCAGTTTCGAAAGCGTTAGGATCACGATTTTCTAATCCATCACTGGGCCTATCCTCGACGCCCATATAGTGTTTCTGACCACACCAGAACTGGCGTGTAAAGGGGAAATTCCATTTACGTGGCACACCATAGTCGCCCGGAAAAATTTGTTCCACATACAAACAGATGAGCATATAAAGTACGCAGGAGATCAACATCACAATTATAATGTAACCCATTGTTAAGGTATCATCAACATTGACCGGTGTAAACATGTTACTCCACTGTAGTCCCTCTCCCGTTCCCTCGAATCCCAGTATTAGCCTGATGGCAAATCCCATCGCCGAATTCGATAGCAGACTCCATCCCAACTTGGTTGACAGAGATAGCGATTGGTATGTATTTATCGTAAATGAGAATGGGATGTATGCAATGAACCAGATCAGGCCGGTCACGGCAGCCGCTGTGCTGGCCTTGGAGAACAGTGTGGCCATCATGAAGCAGAAGCAGATGCTAGCCATTATATACACGATTAGAAAGAAGAGTAGTGCTGAAAAGTCAGCATAAGTTAGAACAGCGACATCGTGGCTCCACCGAATCTTCATCAAAATAGCTATCAAAATAGCCGATATGGTCAGCATGATGAATGATTTGACAAACCAGGCGCTCCAGTGCAACCAGTTGTCCATTCCCATTATTTTCATCACCTCCTTCAGCTGCTTCTCCTTCTCACTGGTCACGTACTGCAAAAGGATGAAATTGTCGTGTAAACGGTGAAAGTAAAGCCAAAAAAAACCAAAATCATCGAACATACCTTAGTAATGTAGGTACAGGGATAGATGAAGCTCAGCAGTATTATCAATGACATTAAACTGGAAAGACCTTGAAGCAGTGGATCGAATGTGAAGGCCGGATACGGATATCGCTGCATTACAACCTCGGGTATTACATCCATATTCGATTTTTGTCGAATATAGGCCATGCTTATGGCATTTTGCACGGGCAGGAAGCCTTCGCGCAGATAGCCCACAGGAATGCCGCCATCGCCATCTTCTAAGTTGCGTGGACCCGTTAAATCGATCATTGGAAATAATCGCATCGTCAGCCACGTGAGGCCAATATTGAACGATGTGGTCCGCAGTTCGGAGGGAAAGCGCAACGTGTATTTCAAACTATCTGACAGCACGTTGCCGGCCATTGATTGATCAAATATGACACCAGCAAACCCTCTCTTGGTCGCTACATCGTTTTCGAGATCAGCAGCAGTATCGACGCCAATCCAGGTCATGTTTAAACTGCTTGCCGCATCACCCATCAGCTTGTCCAGCACGTCAGTTTTGGGTGTGTAATACAGCTCATAAACTGGCATTCCGACCTTGTTGAACGTAGACATTGCCTCACTATATATTTAAGAATGAATTCAGTTAGTTCAGGGGTCATTAGGCTCTCAATATAAACACATAATGCTTTTAGTTACGCATATAATTATATAGTTAGTGCATTTTTAATATATATATTTATATATATATAAGATATGTTGTTGTGCAGCGTGTTTCGGTTATTGTGTATATTTGCATATAGTAAATCTTTTTAGTTGTGGCCGTGCTATAAGTGAGACTACCAAATTAAATAAAACCAATAAGCAATAGTAAGCCAAAAGCAATTAGCTTCTTATCAGAGACCGAAACTAAATGTCATTCAAGCCATTATCATAATGAACATCAAATTAAAGTACTGTAAACTATTAAATTTTCATCCATACGGATAAATAATATGCTTTAATAAGCAAGAGTGTTCAGGTCGAGAGTAGCCGATAAGATGATACCCTCTGATACCCAAGCCGCCAACAAAAGTGATGTTTCTATTTCCTGACACTCTAAAAGATGTGTAATAATAAATCGTGACAACATTGTTAAACAATTTATTTTTCAAATCAAAGTAGTTTGTTGTTATTTTCCTCAACTGCAATATCTCCGATTAAAAATGCTATGACAAGTATGTAAGAAGGGGTATCTTCAAATCAGACTCTCTCGACTAGACCACTCCTGTTCAACCCTCGAGGGTATCAGAGTTATTTGGTTTTGTGGAATGTTCGTCCGATTATTTCCTGTTTTTGGTATTTGCTTTTATTCAATAGATAAAAAGTCGATTTATCTATAACCTTCTGACCATTTGAATATTTGTATGTGACCACTTCAGACTTTAGTACAAGTATGCATATATGCATATATATGTGAAGTATGAAGTCGTTAGCTTTCAGGGTGTCGAAAAGGTTTGAGGTCATACGAAACGAACATTGCACAAAAATCAATACATTTTAAAATTGGCAGTCATCGTATTATAATAACATTTAATTTCGATTTATGTTACGGTCCCTGATAGTCAGCGAAAAACCAGTTACTCTACATATACCTTTGCAGAAATACTTGTAAGGCCGATGTTTGACAGCGATGTAGTTATATGTGCTCGATGTATTGACAGACATATCGGACCAGCAGTAATCAAACTTAAAGCGGACGAATGTTTTATTCAAATTAACAAATTACTTCGTGGAGAGTTGATTTAAATTTGCGTTTGACGTCACCAAAAAGCTCTTGAATGGAATGGAAATCGAATTGAATTCGAGTTTATTGGCCAGGCAGTTTATTATGCTTTAATATTTATCCTGCAGGGGTATAAAACACTCGGTGAACCGAACTAAGATATCTACAAGAATTTTGTTTTCTTTAAATTAATTTTATTATTATTATTTTATTTTATTTATTGTTTTTTTTTTTTTGTATGTATATTTTTACCTCTTACTCTTTGGTACTAGCAGGGAAATGAGCACGTGCATGCGACGCGAATTATGCATTGCATCGCTGAAAGTTGTGTTGCATACAATATAAAATGTACAAGGAGTTTTATAAAAAGTATAGATGTTATAAATACTATATGTACATATGCAGAGTAAATACATATGTTAGAAAATACACATAATATAGCACAGGACATTTTCATTTTGCCAAAGAGCATACTCAATATTAATTAATTTCTACATTCCCCATAAATGCATCTGTACTTCAGTCCATGTCTTCCTGGCTGTATGTCTGCCTTTATATGCAAACTAGTTACTTATGTTAAAATGGACTATATCTAATCAATATATTATATAGCCGCCATTGAAGTAATCGGTCCAAAAATTACCTATTTCAACTTAGAAACAAAAGTCGTTGAAAAATCCATAATTCTCAGGCTCATAAAGCTTTATAAAGAACCTTCAAATAAAAAAAACAATACTACAAAATTGCTTGAGAGGTTTATTGTAAAGTATAGTCCAAGCTGACCCCAATTTGGGAATCGTTTAAAAAAAAATTTAAGAAAAAGAGCAGCAATCAAAAAATATTAAAAAACAAAACACATTTTAATCAAAGTTTGCATTTACAATTTGAATATGCTACAATTTTTTCCGTATTCTGTTGATTTCACCACAATTCACTTTGAAGGTATTTAAATCGATGGAATTGAACACCGTTTCAAGATTAATCATTTTATGACAACTTAAACACCTAATTACATTTTTTATAAATCACATATGAAGTTGTTAATTGCACTTTAATGTACATAAACATATGTATATGGAAACATCCTGAATTTGCTCAAATTTAGCTTATGCGCTGGTTGAGAGTAAGGACAAATCGGGTTATGAAGCGGCTTTAATGAGCGTCTGGCTTAATAAATTGTTTCGAAAATGTGCTAAAGCATATATCTACTCCGGCATGATATCATTATATATATTTGCAGACAATTGCCTGTCGTTCGAGAATTCTTTTGAGTAGCATACTTTAAGTTGACACACAGAAATCTTTCGATTATCTTAAAATCAAATTTAAAGATATAGATAAACCAGACATAGCCATAAAGTAAAATATTCAAATTCTGTGTGGAGTTGTGTACTTACAGCTTGTTGTTCAAGCAGTCAGTGAATTTGGAGAATAATACGAGAAAATATTTTTTAAAGCAGTGCACTGACACACAATAAAAATTAAACGAAAGGAAAAACTTAAAAAAAAAACCTACCATCATATCGAGAACATAAAAGAACATTTAAACGCGCACTTGAACTCGAATGAATAAATAAAAAAAAAATTAGAAATAAAATAAACTGAAAAGAATGTGACAATACCAATATATTTGTATTTCGGGTTTGACACAGAAATCTTTTTTGTTTTCGAATTTAGCAACCTTGGGGATCGTCAGATCCTAATATATACAAAGTTCCCATAGTATTATTTTTGTCAGCAATTCATGAAAAATATTAATATTAATAACTGTTATTAAATTTATTATTATATATGTAAGTTACAGATTGCTAGTGTTTTTGTTTTTTTCTTTAAGAAATCTTTAGATAAATAATTAAACAACCCAACACAAACATAATTCTGTTTCTGGAAGGGATTTCTGTGTCAGCCCCTTATAAATATATCCGATATAAATATTAATGAATATATATACATAAATGTTAACCTACTTGAAAACTTTCAATGTGTTTAAATCATATGATTTATATTCCGTTATATCCTTCGGTTCTGCCACCACGAGGGTGCGAACCAGCACCAGCAGCAAGGAGAATACTGCCGGCAGCATCAGCTCGATGACCAATTGCCATTTGTGATTCCATTGGAGCAACCAATTTTTCCAAAGTAACAGCACAAATTTATCCCAGTTAGTGACTTTTGCCATTTTGTCTTATCTCGTCCAATCCTTCTACAGCCACAACTCCAACTTTTTTGGTTCTTTGACACTCACAGAACGAGTCTCAACTGTAATCAAAAAATATAATATTCATATAATTAATATACTATTTCATGATCTTAATAACTTAATGCAAAAATACAATTTAATTATATGCATATGGAAATTTTAAGGAACTATATTTAACGAAATAATCATATTGAAAATATCGATTATTTGTGGGTATATATATTACAAATATTACAAACTAATGTAAGATATTCGGTATGAAACACAAGTAATATATAAACCTCAATTCCTCAATTTAAAGTTTAACTCTCGAACTCATTTTCATGTCTACTTGTGTTTAAATCAAATTCACTATTACCCACAGATTTGGGAGCATGCCTTGAGGACAACTATTTTCACAGCAATTCTAATAGAAAATGAACGTATAACTTAACAATATTGCGTATACCTTCTATACATATATGTATCGAAACTCATTATTAGCATTGATAAATATCTAATCAGTACAATTGATTAAGATAACACCACGATTAGGCAAGGACCATGTCATGTATAAATGTCACTGCCCAGGTTCAACGCAAACACGTGTGAAGAGTTGATGGCATACATACGTTGACGATAAGGTTAATTTTCTAAACTCATGCTAACATTGTTAACAACAGCCGATAAGATAAGCATCTAGCTAAATATATGAAGCACTTTGTTTCACTCATAGTTATTGCACAGACTAAGGAAATTTACTAAAATTTGAGAATGTTTGATCTTTTATATGACATTTAGATACATTTTTTCAATAATGTGTCAAAAAAAAACAGAAAATGAATTCACTCAACTCAACTTGACATAAACTTCCATACTGTTTGCCTGTGCAAGTCGACAAAAGCCTAATTTGTACAAACGATAATAAAAACAAGTGAGAACGTTGCAGTCGGTCCTGACCGACCGCGAAATACTCTCATATTATCAGTAATACTATCTGAGAACAGGTACCACAGAAAAGGGTGGATGTAGCCAAGGAATACCGATCTTCGAAAGAGATTTTCAGTAATCTACCGTCCAAGTTTGCTTTTAAAGTTCCGCTAGATAAAGACTTTTGTGAATTTTGGCGGCGAGAGTATATACCAATCAAATTTGGTGACTCTAGATTTCAACAGGTGTATCTGTTTGGGGAGGCGGTGTGGCTGTGGTTATCCTCTTTTTATCGATCTCTTAGGAAAGTGCCAGTAATATACTTTCAAAATTTGGTGACTAGCTCACAAACTGTGGAAGATATGCGCATTGCAGATTTCTAGGGCCGAAGTTCCTGGGGCGGCGGGTGTGGGCGTTTTCTTAAGCCTTAAGTATATGCCAATCTTTGAAGAAGGTTAACAGCAAGTTACTTTCTACGTTTGGTGACTCTATCTTTAAAATTGTGAGACATGCGGTTCTTCTTATCGCTTCTTAACGGCTGCTACGGGTAATATACCTAACAAATTTGGTAGATATGATGGTATAGCCACTGAAGTTTTTTACATCTGTGACTGAGGTCTTAAAATTGTGGGAGACATGTGGTTTTAGGCAAGCTGGTCGCAAAAAAAAAACAGTATTTATTAGAGACTAATAATAGCATACCATTTATGTTTATTGCCGAGATACACTAACAAAGAAATGATAATAAATTGAGCATTCACTCACTTCACTCATGTATGCTTTCCAGGAATTACATGCATATATCGATGTGCCTGGGAGAGTTAAGGGATAACACTGGCATAAAGAAATAATTGAATGTATTGAATGTATAATCGAATCAACTCAAAAAACTAACTAGAATTTACCAAACAATGATTAGATTACTGTAATCATCTTTGAAAGATTTATAATTACTTATGCTGAACATTATCACTAATGGTTATCTCGTTTCTTTATTATGATCAATTGATAACTAATGATCATATATGAGCACATACAAAAGCCTTTCATTTTTATCTTAACTTCCTCTTGACAGGATTAGTTACGATTTTGTAGTCCGATACGGACGAACACGACATGGGAACAAATTTCACATAAATGGATGCTTACAGGAAGGAGAACTCGGTTTTATTGATTCATGTAATTGTCCTGTTTTATAATATTAATACTTTATGAGGCATATATCCTTATGATACTTCAATACATTTGTGCACCTTCGTGATTCACTTCCAACCCCACGAAAACCTTACTCTTATATAATATGTATATATATGTGGAAGGTTTAGAAACCTTTTGTGGATAACACTGCCAGCTGAGTGTAATATTAGGATAACAAATTAGGATAACAAACGAGCTGGCAGATGTTAGATGATTTTTCATTGATAACTCATTGAAAGAATGGCAAAATTTTCACATTTTTTACGATAGCATTGCACACTTACCACTCGACACAGAAAAAAAAATGCTTTTCTTTTTTAAATATGTCGACGAACACAAAAAAAGTTGAAATAGCTAGTAAGAGGGCGCCCAACCGCTCGTCGGAATCTATTGTTTCAAACTAAACGTACTCACAATCTGGTGCGAATTAAGTACATATACAATCTACATAAAATATTAGCCGTCGAATATCATATTTGACATTTATTGCTATTGGCCGATCCGTGAGTCGCTGTGCTGGCGATATTCGCGAAACTGATAAGCGCTTTAAGTAGACACCCATTAAGAGTGTAGTCGAGTTGTATTTGTACTTGACAACTATTAGTCATTAACGCAATGGAAATAATTCCCCATAATCAATACTACTTCAAGAAGCACTACTACTATTTTTAGACTGCACTTATGAATAATATTGCTCAACTACTAAAACTATTCTTCAAAAATAGTTGCATTTAAAGCTCGCCATTTAAATATTCTCTTGGGTTTCCACATAGATTTCGAGATTCATGTCTATGACACTGAAAAATTCTTTCCGTGCTCTTATTTGATAAGGTTTTCAATTCAAATATAAACAACGAACAAGTATCTTTGTCAGACATTGAGACATTTTCATAGCTTTTGATTTGAATGTAGACCTGTTGATATTTCTTAGATATGAAATCAAGTGCAACCAAATCAAAATTGTTATATAAATTAAATATATGTATGTGTTCGTTTGAACATTTACAATACAATACAGTAACATACATATAGAGTTTCATAGCCTTAATTATAGAAAATTTTACTTACCTGTGAAGATTTATTATACAATTACAGGATAATAAAAAATATATACGATCAATTTGTAGTTTAACGAATGGTTAGCTATGTAGATATAGAACTAAAGCACAGTCGACAGAGTTCAATCGCGCCGAACATTCACAAGTTCCCGCCCATGAATCATACACAACTATGTATGAACATTTGTATATAAGAAAATTTAATGTGAGATCTATTTTGCAAGCGTAAATTAATACACTGAAATGGTATATATTTATGAGGGATAAGTTAAGTAAGCTATAATTCCAGACATAAAGGTTTTCAGAGAATTAGGTTTCGGGTAGATAAGGAAGCTGAAAAGCCAAAATATATATTTGCTTGCTGTTCTAATGAATCAGAAAAGAAAAAAAACCAACCCTTGATAATCATCACAACAGTAGCAATAATACAATAATTCCAGACATAAAAGCTTTTCAGAGAATTAGGTTTCGAGCAGATAAGGAAGCTTAACTGTTGAAAAGCCAAAAATATATATCATTTTCATTATGTCAGCATGAATCCGGAAAAAATAACCAATATTTGACTATAAACAAAACAGTAGCACCCTAGAATACATTTTCTCTGCTTGCTCACAAAAGATATACATATATATGTATAACCATCTCACGGAAATAATTTGGTGTAAGTTTATACTCTTATCAACGTTATCAGTTTCTAATCAAACCAATTTTGAAGACATGAAATCAAAACAAATAACTCAATCAACATTCACATACATGATTCAATCTTTGCGTACACTCGTACTCGTTGTCAGAGTCCACTCATTGTATTCATTACTCATTTAGTCAGACTTCGCATACCTTAATCAAATTGGCATAGTTTATGAGTCTCATAACATTCTCAAAACATTTGTATAACTTTAAGAATTAAATAGTTGAAGAAGACCTCGTCAAAATCAGATAATAGCAAAATTCAATAACAGAAAAACGGATCTGAAGTTGAGTTTGTATTTTTGGATATTGTTTAAAATTTGTGCGGCACATCCATCCAATATTGTTACTTGTTTCATTTCTATAACTAATCGATAAAACTTGAAATTATTTCATTATGCAAAATATGTGGAGATTAGAAAATAATTTTGTTAGTACTCGCAATTATAAAATTTCCAAAAATAATTTGTCTGAAATTTCACACAGATCCGTTAGGGGAAAAGTTTTCGAAATTTCAAATTCGTTGAACTTAATGATTATTTACGTGCACACATCTTCATTGGAAACTACAGTAAACAAACGTACTACGTTTGTTAACACTCGCAATTGCCCAAACGACAATTATGATAAATTATTGTATACATTTGATATATATATCTATGAATGCACAAGCACACGCAGCATATTAACGTAAACCTGCATGAAAATTCGATATAATCGAGATAATTTGGCTCCTAATTGCGATCTACGTTTCAATTTGTGGCCATTTCGACTGAAGCCAAGTGACGTCAAAAGGCAAAGTTGACTAAAAGCTTAACCAATACGTCAAAAAAAGTGGGTGGATACCCACTGGGTCACCCGAATGGTGTCTTTCTGCTTGTTTCACTTATTTTTTATTCATGCACATACATATCTATTATGTATATATACATTCGCATATGGATGACTAATTGCCTGGATTTACTAGCTGCATTGAATAGCTGTTAAATAATCAATTACAGACTAGAATCGTATGTTTGTTGATATACACATTTTTGCAAAGTCATCATGATAAGTGTGTGGTGCAAGCGGAAACCGTGCCGTTTGTACTTAGAACCAGATTACAAATATATTCACATCTTTTATTGTATATACACATGGCCATTTATATGCATACAAAGTACAGAAAGTGTTGAGCATATGTTCATTGTTATCTTTACTTCCAAAATATATAATTAAATACCTTTTTTCAAGTGAGTCCAAAATTCCCTCCCCCCAGCGCCTCTGGCCAGCCAGATCACAATCGTAACTTGGCTAATAAAACAATAAAAACAAAAAAAAAAAGTACTTTAATAGCACACTTACATACGTAGATAGTCAAACTTAGCATTAACCTTAACGGAGACTATTAACCATTGACTTTTCAAATGAAATATGTATAAGTGCCTATAACGCTTTTGCAATTTGCGATTTGGCAATTTCGATATGTTTTCTGAGCGATAAAGTGCAATTAAGAAGAAAGGAAATGGATGCGAGATACTTTATGCCAAAATACCTTACAAAAACATAAATGTTACACGGAAACCCGAGCGCCTCACGAAATTAATTATTTACAACAAGCACACAACCAATAAATAGGTTGGTTTACACAGGTTCACTCTATGAACAGTTTTGCTAATGTTTAGATAAGCACGCAATTTGTTCGTTTTGCTTTGGTGCCGTCATACTGATGTTAACTAATTTGTGTTATTATTTATGCGACTGTCGAAAAATGTGGAACCCAAACACTCCCGATTTCGCGCAGTGATCGAGCAGTCCAATACATGCTTCCTTCCTTATTTTTGCCGCTCTCTTTATAGTCTACTCCGGTTTAATATTTGTTCGGTTGTGTGACTGATTGGTCACTATTTCATCAGGGCTTTCGTCGCTTTTGTTTAACTGCAAAGTCTACATGCATGCATGCATGCATACATAGACATTTTAAATATCAATGAAAACTATAATATTTTGGCTACGAAGTGTTGTTGCTATTCTCGTTGGCGGCTTGAACAGCTGTGAGCTGAACACACACACACACACAGCACACACACATTCGCACACACAAACACAATCACATTGACATATGTACAAACGCAAATACAAATCACAACAAAAAAAAAATTTAACACTAATAATACTGATGCCTGCGTTCGATGGCCAACCAGCCTTCAGCAATAACTAAGCACACAAAAACCACGCGCACAATTAAATTTAGCCAAGGACGAAACGTTAAAACCTAACGATAACCGAACAACACAAACATATATATGCAACTGGAATTGAGTGTGTTCTATTCTATAAACTATCGTCTATCGGCACAGCTGACCGAACAGTGTGACCATAACCATGTACATCAATATTTGAGTTTAACGGACGAAATCTGCGATACGAAAAATATTTACAAATTCAAAACATTTTCAATAAGCTTTAGATAAAGTAGATGTATATTATATGTATATAATATTATATTATATATTATATACGCTTTTAATTATTAAAAGTGAGCTCTATAAATTGTTAAATGACTATTTGCTTACACGGTTGAATGCCCTGTGACGCACTTCGTAAAATTCCCAGTCAACATGAAAAAGTTTATCAAATATTATCAAAATGGGTCAAAGCCTGTTTACTTCATTAAATATTAGACTTCACGTGTTTCATCGATTGTGAACTGAGGTAAAAGTCATTAAATTTTAAATATTAACAGAGGCGGGTCAACGTATTAATTGTAAGGTATAGAGTGGTCAATACAAAATACCCTGTAACCAGTTCAAGCATTAGTCAGTTGACAGGGATTAATTTGACACTAAGTACATTTTTTGATTAACATCGCACTACTGTGTATATCACATGGCAAATGAATTATTTTGTCAGTCAATATTTGGCTAATGTGACATTTAATTTAATAACATAAATGTATGGAAATTAGTTGGAATTTAATTCCATGAAGCTTACGTTTGCAATAAAGATAATTTCAGTAATGTCTATGAGCAAGGCATATCCGATGGCATGTCCATTAGGCCAATAAGCAAGCACATAACTTATAATTGGACACGTCACTTCGTATTTTCACTATCAAGTACATAATGAACATACATACATAGTTTGCATCTATGAGTATATAAAGTCAGAGTCTTTAAAATTGTATCGAATACGGCATAGCCCATAACACTCAATTATTATTTCAGCTGACACTCATACTTGAAATATTAACAGATATAAAATATTCGATTTATGTGTATGATATGACATCAGCGTGTATAGCTATATGGGACTAAAGATTTGTTAGTTGATCGCAGCACGATTTCGTTCTGTTCCGCCAAATTTGGGTTCGTCAGACGACGCTTCAGCTCGGCGCGCGTCTCCTGCACCTGGGCAATAACAACATTCATGCTCGCCTGATATATGCAATAGTCGTGGATATTCAGACGCACCTTGTTCTTTTCCATGGCGCCATAAAGGAACGAATAGACGATGTGGCCCACTGGTATATAATATTTGAACCAATTGTGCATGCGACCCCTTGAATAATTAAAAATCAATTAAAATGGATGGAGATAGTATTACATGGCTAGACTAAAGAAGTAGGGCTGCCTCGGCCGACAGGAATGCGCCCATCTCCTTAGGAATAATTCATTTTGACTACAAACTTAAGCTAAGCATGTCCCATTCAACTACAGACCTTTAAAAAAGTTAATGACAAATTATACTTACACCAATTCCGATTTGTCATGCAGAAAGTTAATGAAACGAGCCAAATTGTCAACATCCTTGCGTAGACTATGGATCAACCAAATCAGTGTTAACAATATGAAAAGACTCTTGAAAGTCGAGTAAACTCACTTGGCCTCTGTTTCCTGTAAAGTGGCGCCATCTCTAACCAGTCTCACTTCCAGATAGAAACCATGGCTATATTTATATCGCAGATATTGCATACTGCCAATTGCCAGCATTTCGCTATCCTGAAAGACTATTATATAGTCGGCCAGCATCTTGCACTCTAGCTCATCATTGGTGGAAAAAATAATCGTCTTGCCGCAATAACGTAGATAGCGTAAAATATTCCAAATCTCGCGCCTTGTCGTCGAAGGCATACCGTATGTGGGCTCATCCAAGATGAGTATCTTGTTGTAGGCAATCAGTGAAATTGCAACGTTCAACTTGCGACGCTTCTCCTGCGTCAAGGTGCCACATTTGCGATTCATCCAACCAACCATGTTGAACATCAGGCAAAGATCATGCATTTTCTCGCCAATTTTGTTCTCGTTCACGCCGCGTATCATACAGATCAATCGTATATGATCGCGGGGTGTTAGTTCGTCGAGCACTCCGTTATGCTGTGGACAGTATCCGACATAGCCGAGAATGGTGTCCAGATCATACTTAAAGTCCAAGCCTCGCACATAGATTTCGCCAAAGGCAAACCCATCCAGTCCGACCAGCTGACGTATCAGATGACTTTTGCCCGAATTGCGTGGCCCAAAGATGCCCATGCTCATATATCTGGGTGGATCAATCACAATTACAAGCTCCACTTGGACCAATGGAAATCGGTTTACTCACTTATTTAGCGCAAATGAAACCGTATTGAGCTTGTTGCCTCTTTTCGGTAATTTACTCTCAACCTGATCGACCAGAAACACTGATTGCTTGCATTTAGTCATATCAGCCTCGGCGATCTTTTGCTTAACATCAGCCACGTCGCTATCATCAAAGTGGTAGGTAGCGGAGCGCATGTCGTGAATGCTATAGGACAAGGCAAGTGGACATATAGCTGCCATTGGAACTATCGTTGAAAACATAGGTGTCTAAATTTTCTAAAGCCTTAACTTTATCACAACTGCAACGATTTTCAACAAACAATGACATTTCAATCATGGCTTGGTCTCTCGACTTTTGAATCGAAGAAGAGTATAAATTGAAAACATACAATTAGACGACCTGCAAGGCTATACACACATCTACGGTGTGCCTTATACAATTATGTACTTTAAAGAGTCAGAAGTGGAACCAAGTGCAACCCTACACAAATCAAAATCATTTTGGAGTCAGACTTATAAATGGTTTGGCATTAGCAGAGTAAGTTTGAGTGAGTGGTAGGCAACATGCACTTACTTTTTGGACGAATGAAACTTCTTTTCTTTGCGATGCAATTCAATCCAGAATAGTAGGAAGAGTACAATAAGCGCCGATAGGAACATGAATGTTAATCCCGGCATGATACCAGGATCAGCCCATTTGAAATAGGATTCAACTGTGTGGCAATTGCTTAAGAGGGCACATACACACACATAGCCAAATGGAAACTCATTTACTTACACTCACAATGTGGCACAATCTCGTGCATTTTTTCGGGTACGCAATCCTCAAGGGCGGCACACTTCGTCTGACACAGACGCTCCTCCAGGCGCCGTATGTAAATGTTGCTAATGGCATCGAGCAGAGCAAAACCGGGTGACATGCAGGCACCATAGTAGAAGATCACATTGCTATTGGCCACATCCCAGTAGACGATATAGAGGACCAGACCCAGCAGGCTCTGAATTAGGACGGAGGCAAGAAACGCGCGCACAATCGACTTATTCATATACATGGATATCACATAAGTGATGGGCAGCGCTGCGAATCCATAGAATGTGATAAGCAGCAGGAGGAGCACATTCTCATAGGCGCCAAAATCACCAATGCCCGTACAGACAACAATAATAACAATGATAACGGCATAGATAAAGTACGTAAATAGATCCCAAAATAGATTCACACCCCAATAGATCTGCAATTGTAGCCCGGCAAGCAATTGAAGGATGCGCAACTGGGATATTTGCTCCTCCACCAATGGTATGATGAACACAGAGACAATCAACGGAAGAATGCAGCCAATGGCCAGTGGTGCATTGATATGGGCAATCTCATTATCCATCAAATTGATCTTCATGGAGAGCGGCGTCGCCATTGGATAACTGTCAACCACGGCCATAAACATTGAGTTATTCGGATACGATAATCTGAGTGTTTGATGTTAGTCAGTGGAACAGTTAAAAATGGCACCAATACCCACTGTAATATAATGTTGTGCAGCAAATTAAGCATCATTGGCGCCGAATGAAATGTATCCTGACTAATATAGCCATATAGACTCTGATCGCCATTATGCTGGACGGCACCCAAGCTGGTCAGTACGTCCTTGTTAATCAGATCATCCGCATATTTGCCCTTCTTGCAGTCAAATGAATCTGGCTCAAAGGTTCGCGATATGTCATTGGCTTTCTTATATGTCGGTATCTTCGTTAGCGATTTGATGTCTATATAGCCGCACTCATTAATATCCGGTATATTCTTCAGTTCATCCGTAGTGCCCTTGAAACCAAGGTGTATATTATGCTTGTGCACATCATTCACATCCAGCACCATGGCGAGTCGGGTTATAATCACAACAAGTATTAAACTGACAAATATCATTATAACTGGCCACACATTGGGCGCTGAGTGTATCATTTTTTTGTACAACATCGCACGCATTTGCTGTCTTCGCAGTTTCCTCTTCGATACGACAGAGTATTGGAAGGTTTGCGCTATTCGATTTTGGCACAATTAATTAAATTCCGATTCGATTTATTAACCAATTTTTACTTACTGACATCGGGAATAAACTGCTGATGATGGCGAAACGATGTCACTAGTTTCATATATATGTCCGACATCTCGGCGCCAACAACACGTATATTATCAATGCCCAACCTCTTACGATCGTTCTCCAGCTGAATCAGCATATTCTGCAATATCGGTCTATATTCCGAGCGTATCTTGTAGGTTAAGGTATCACCGATTTCATTCTCTGGCTCAATATCTACTATGTACTGGCCAATAAAATCGGTGATGGGTGCATCTGGCACATGTGGCTTCTTAATTAGTACCTGCAAATATCAATTAAATTCGTTAAATAACATTTCATATGGTAAATATTTTTTGTTTTTTTTTTTTTTCATCAATTAAGTTCGATTTTAGATCGCTATGCCAAAGAAACTATCGGTCAAAGGATAAGTTCTTGTCAAATTAGAATTTGGCAAGACTTTTCACAGACATCACTCGAAAATGAACCGATTTTCATAATGTGAGTCCCACTTTAATACTGCACTTAAATGTCTAAAATCAAACCCAAAAATCCACTTTTGGGAATATTCCAAATTTTACACTCCAACAACTTTACAAAGAACTATATAATTGCCACCTGGGGATTCCCATAACCGCACAATTTAATAAATATAAATAACTTCTAAATCCTGTTCTAACAATCGTCAATGCGCATAACCAAAAAACCGTTTTGCCTAACCAATTAATTTTTTTGATAATATGGTAAATTATCTTTTAACGAGCTGCCGATATTTTGGTGTTATCAAAACACTAAACCTTTCGGGATCTCATAAATGATTATTGATGTGTTACCAGATCAACGTAATTGCTAAATTTGGCACGGAGAAAGAAGGGCGTGCCGCTGGCCTCTAAGACACCCATGCTGAGAAATCCAATCCGATCTGCGATTGATTCCGTCTCATCAATGCTATATGTGGCAAACACAAAGGCGCGCTCCTCCTTCTCCAAGGCAACAATGCTCCAAAATATCTGAGCCTCGCGTGCCGTCAGCTCCTGTGTCGGCTCCTCAATGACAATGACTTTCGTATCACTGGCTAACGTGCAACATAGGGCGACCAAACGACGTTCCCCGTAGGTGAGACGGCCGATCCGTGTGCGACGATGACCGATCTGTACTTCAAGTATATCGATCCACTTTGTCCTCTCCATATTGTAACGATCTAAGTTCTCGCTATTGAGCTTCAGGCGCAAATGATAATCAATGGTCTGCTCCATCGTCAAATGATTCGACAATCCGTTTTCTACGCACCGAAAATCAACATGATTCCGATGACTTCGCATATCTTTATATAGATGCTGACCCATGTAAAGTACAGAGCCCCGCGTCGCATACTTGAGACCACAGATGACACGGAGCAGCGTCAGTTTGCCAGATCCAATGTGACCCAATACCACATAGACCTCACCCTTATAAATACGCATCGAGACATTCTTCAAAATCTTTCGCTCCGAGGTCCGATGCACTGTGTAGATGTGGCTCAAGCGTATCAGCTCCTTGCTACCCACATCGCCATACTCGAAATTATGCCAGCTGGGATTACGTGCCAAACTAACTAGAGTATTATCGATTTCGATTTCTTTGCGCCGCTTGCCAAACACGACACGTCGGCTGAGGAGGCGTCCTGGCATCCGCCACTGCAAGAGGATGAGCAATATTGAATAGATTAATGCACTGATAACGGCGGATACATAAAGTGCAATAACATCATATGCTCCGATCGAATGCGGCTCATTTATGATCCGATGAAACAATTGCATGCTGTACGGTATCTGGTTGCTAAGGAATACAATTAATATAAAGAAAACATAGTGACCATGCACGTCCCAGTATCGCTTAAGGATCACCCCAAAAACGGCGTAGTTAAACAGCCAAATAACGATCGCAAAGAGTACCGCATTGGTTTTGTTCTGAAAAAGCTTGGCAAACACAAAGGCAGTTACAATTAGCTCAAATGTGAATATCGCAATGAAGATGATCATTAAAAACAATGTCAGTCCAGAGAAGATGCCATCCTCGATCGTCCAATACAACTGCAATACACAATTCAAATTGAAATATATATATGCATATTGACATTATTAAATCACTCACAAATATCACAAATATTATAACCAGCCCCAGTAACAGCAGACGTATCGCCAACACAAGAAATATGGAACAATATTGATCTACAAACGAGTAGCCGTAGTGCCACTGATGCGTCATAACATTATCCCTAAGTTGACCAGCTAGGTTCTGTAAGAAATTCATAAATTGGTCAACAGCCAATTATAAATATAAAAATAAACACATAATCAGCTGAGGGAAACCCCATAAATTGTATTACTCTTGACAACTTTGTCCGTCGATTTGTCTTTTTCTATGGAAAATAGTAAATCAGTTTTGAAGCTATCTTAATGAGACTTGTCATAGTATCTGCTAAAGATAATCGTTCTTACGTGTTCTGGCTACTTTAGCGTTACACTTAAATTACTGCGTACCAAACATAATGAAGTTTGATCCTAAACTGACCAAAAACAAGCTCAATTCTATTATTCAGAAATGCGTGTACATCCAGATATATCCAAGCAGAACCTTTAGTCCAACGGTATGCACTCACCCGTATGATATTAATGAACGGCAGCAAATACAGGAAATTAAATAGGAATGACGGTACGGTGTATACATCCATCGTAGCGCAGCGTTCGTCAGCAACTCGGAGACGTACATTGAAAACTTCTACGTTGGGCTCCGCGAAGTTCGATGGAAATAGATTACGTAGTCGGTGGAGCCATTCTAAAAATATCTGATGTTGTATTTGCAGGAAGCCCTCACGTATGTAAATATCCTGATTTATATCGGGATCTTTGGCATTATCACGCTTGGGATTTACAACACCAGAGCAACGTGTTAGCCATAGGCGATCTTCTGAGAGAAACGGAGTGAGCGTACGAAATTCGCTGGGGAAGCGAATGGTAACCGAAAGTATTTTGGGCACCTGTTCATTGCTCTTATCAATTTGCTGGAAAACAAGAGCAGCCAATGTAGTACGCTCATCGAATTGATTTTGCAAATCCTCTGGGTCGTCAAAGCCGATGGTGTCATTCATTTCCAACTTAGCGGCAACAGACTCGACCACTTCTGTTACAAATTTCGTTTTTGGTGCATAGGCTAGGTTATACTTGGTTTGTTCTCGCTTCGAGTCGACCAATCCTCTGTCAGTCGATATATTTTTGAAATTTAATAAAATTAACATGAGAGCTTTCTGTTGTAGCTTACGTGAGTATATTGATATCATCCAGCTTATGGGGTACAATTGTCTGGTCTCCCTCATAATCACTGCGACTATACAATAATCTCTTTGAATATGATATGGGATTAGCTAGTATGGCAATCAACAGTATAATTATAACAAAGCATTCGAAAGCAGTCCGCTTCCAAAGTGCCAATTCGATTTGTAAATTGTGCTTAAATAGCAATCCAAATGTTGCTGGCATCTTGATATTGCCTTTTCAATTCAAACACGAGCAGCTTGTGTATAATCAGTACATTTGCAAGCCACTCTAAACTTATTTGTAAATTTCTGAGTGCATGTTGAACAAAATTAAATTTGTGTAAAGTAAATTTCTTATGAATGACAAGAAACACATTGATTTCAAGCACAATTGTACTCATATTCAAATATAAGCGGCCGATAGTAAAGACAACGACCAGCTATCGATGCCAACGAGTTTCTATCAATCATACAACCATCGTCTAGAAAAATACGATGCTAATCTCGATAAGCTATCGATAGTCCACAATATTTTGTACACATTTCGCACATCGTAGAAGATAAGTTTTATTTCAGAATTAGATAATTTCATACGCAGTATATTTTACGCAAACAGAAATAAATTGCTCTTGCCAAAAAGAATAAATTTATCAATCGAACCTTCCAACAATTTTGAATATTATTATTGGGTACTCCACCGATACTTTAACCGAAAGCTATCGATATAATTTAAGCATCTCTACATCATCGCAATTTATACCAAACAGTAGACTTGCCGAGTCATAATAGGTGTTAACTTGTGAGACAGTAGGCTAAATTCTTAACACAATTTTTCTGCTGTATACCCAAGCGGCAGTATTTAATTAAAAGATAAATCCATTGCTAAAAAAGGAGCAAAATGACGCTCTCAAATCGGGTAAATTATCATACTGAATGCAACCTAACTGCAAATTACTAAAAAATAAATAACTTGCAGATGGATACAGAGGCGGCTTACCAAAAGGGCGAAGGCTTCCGTTCATATTATATACAAAAAATTGAGGAACTTCAACTAATTGTGGCAGAGAAGAGCCAAAACTTACGCCGCTTGCAGGCACAGCGTAATGAGCTCAATGCCAAAGGTACGAAAATCACAAAAAAGAAACAAATATGTATGTAAAATGTTAAAATTTCAGTGCGTATGCTACGCGAGGAGTTGCAACTGTTGCAGGAGCAAGGTAGCTATGTCGGTGAAGTTGTCAAGCCAATGGATAAGAAGAAGGTACTCGTCAAGGTGCATCCCGAGGGCAAATTCGTTGTTGATTTGGATAAGAACATTGATATTAACGATGTTACACCGAATTGTCGTGTCGCACTTCGCAATGAAAGCTACACACTGCACAAGATTTTGCCAAACAAAGTGGATCCGCTGGTGTCACTGATGATGGTCGAGAAAGTTCCCGATTCAACATACGAAATGGTTGGCGGCTTGGATAAACAAATCAAGGAAATAAAAGAGGTTATCGAGCTACCCGTGAAGCATCCGGAACTGTTCGATGCCTTGGGTATTGCTCAGCCAAAGGGTGTGCTGCTTTATGGACCGCCCGGCACTGGCAAAACCCTGCTCGCTCGTGCAGTGGCTCATCACACCGAATGTACATTCATACGCGTGTCTGGGTCCGAGCTGGTCCAGAAATTCATTGGCGAGGGCTCGCGCATGGTACGTGAACTCTTTGTTATGGCCCGCGAACATGCTCCCTCTATTATATTTATGGATGAAATTGATTCGATCGGCTCATCGCGTATTGAATCTGGATCGGGCGGTGACTCTGAGGTGCAGCGCACCATGCTGGAGTTACTCAATCAGCTGGATGGCTTTGAGGCCACCAAAAACATCAAAGTCATCATGGCCACCAATCGTATCGATATACTCGATCCAGCTTTGTTACGTCCCGGTCGCATTGATCGTAAAATTGAATTCCCACCACCAAATGAGGAGGCACGTCTCGACATTCTAAAGATTCACTCGCGCAAAATGAACCTAACACGTGGCATCAATTTGCGCAAGATTGCCGAACTGATGCCGGGTGCATCTGGTGCCGAGGTCAAAGGCGTCTGCACCGAGGCTGGCATGTATGCACTCCGCGAGCGTCGCGTCCATGTTACCCAAGAAGACTTTGAGATGGCCGTTGCCAAGGTGATGCAGAAGGACTCTGAAAAGAACATGTCAATCAAAAAGCTGTGGAAGTAAAAATTGGCATTTCAATCACACACACACATATATATTAAACAACTACGATTAACACTTAATTTCGTAAAAAAAAAAAAACGAAAAAATTTAAAAGCAGTATTTCCATTTAGTTAATTATTTTTATTAATGAGAGAGTAGAGGAAAGATTAACAACTGGGTTCTTAAATTACTTTTTAATTTTGTTTGGCCTCAACGCTTGCATGATACATAGAATTTTGTTGTTATGGCTGTTAGGGCTAACCTTTGCGCAGCTGGAGCTCCGCTTGCAGCGTAGCACAAATCTGCTCATCATCGGCAACATCGATGCACGTCTGACCATCCGAATCGCGCAGCTCCAGATTCGCTTTTAGAGATAACAAACAGTGCAATGCCTCCACATGGCCACAACTGGCGGCATAATGCAATGGTGTCTGTTGCTCCGAATCGCGCTGATCCACATCGGCGCCGCACTCAACCAGATACTCAATGATCTCGATGGCATTGCGATCGGTTGCCCAATGCAACAATGCCATGCCCTGCTCATCCAATGGCATCAGGTCACTGGGCTGCAATTGTTCACGCAAGCGCTGCAAATTGTTCTCCTTGACATGATCAAACAGCGTTTTCTGATGCTCCAGCTTGCTAGCCTCGACTGGCTTCGATTCAATCGAGTGCACCACCCAGCCACTCAGTCTGCCACCGCTATCGCCACTCGCTTTATTGTCATTATTGTCCAGGCAATTGGGATCAAGTTTCACAACTTTCTCAATGTAAGCGCTCTGGGCATCTCTTCGGCTCATATCGCCCAGCTCTTTCCACGCATTCCATTTGCTACGCGCCTTCATTTGTATGAATGCGGGGCGTGGCGTGCAACAGACACCCTCCGTTGCCTGTTTGTACAGTGCATATAATTCAAGCAAATCACTGGCATCATAAACATTCGCATTGCGCATTACATGCGCCGTTGTTATTGCAAAGTGTTTTTCATACTCCCGCTGCTGCTCCTCCTCTTCATCCTCCTCATCGTCAATTTCCAAATCACTGTCCAACATTTTTAACTAAATGCAACTGCAATGACTAAACTTGAAATGGCTTTACTTTTGTCTTCTGCGCGTATATGTATTTATGTATGTGTGTGTGCGGGTGTTTGTGTATGTATGTGTGTATGTATTTCTGTATGTGGGTGTGTGTGATTGGTTTTTCAATTTGAATTGGAATTATGACTTTTGTATATTCAAGTAATTGCCCTCCAGTATGTGCTTCTGTTCGTTTTCAATCTTTTCGAGGGCCTGCAAACTGTTGAAGCTGACAAAGCCGTAGCCCTTGGAGCAGCCGGTTTTCCTGTCAAAGATTACGTTGGCGTTGAGTACGCGACCAAATTCTTTGAAATAGCCTCGCAACTCCTGATGACCCACCGTCCAAGGTAGATTTCCCACAAAAATGCGGTGAACTGATTTTCCAACTTTTCCTGCTGCGGTTGCCATGTGTACGAACAGTCTCTCGCTCTGCTGCTCTCACTCTCACTCTCTCTAACTTCGTATCTCTTTTGCCACTGCAGATGGCACAAATGTTGCGTAAATTTTGGGTATGTATGTAATGTAACGACGCACTTGCCGCTATTCTTTAGCGTAACGTTAACCTCAAAGTGTTAAATAAAAAAAAAACTTTGAAACTTTAATGTTGCAATGGGCGATTGCTATTATCGATTTAAACTCGATTTTTTTCCGATCATATCTGCGTGTCACTATCCAAATGCCCTGTACACATTTAAAAGTTTTAATGGGGTATTATATTTTAAGCAAATGTATGCAACAACAAAAAATGCAGGACATATATGTAAATTGTTTTCTGGTTAGGTTATAATTAATAATGTATAAATTGTTCATAATTTATAAATGTGATCAAAATCCTTCTAATCAAAAAAAAATAAATAAAAATCCTATAATCAGACACAATGTGATGGTGATAGCTTCTATGAAATTTCGTTCCTTATTGTGAAAGTTCTTCTCTGGGTCTGGGAATCTTCCAGTTTGTCAATTTACTTTAGATCTGACATGAAATAGCACCCTTCACTGTACCTATTAAGAGGAATCTCTCCCTGCGTGCCTATCGAGGCGATAGTAGTCCATTAGCATCAATGCTGATAAAGAGGTAGTAAATATTTAAATCAAAGGATTTAAAATCTTAGCTATAGTATCCGTGAAAGTGAAAAAACGTTTGGTTTGAAATTTTACTTTGTCATTTTGTTTTGTGTTCCCCTTTTCATTTTATTTAATTTACGATATATTATTTTTGTTAACAAATTTGTTTTAAGTTACACTCTACTTACAACTAACAACATCGCATACATATTTAATAAATAAACAAATACATTTACAATACAATACAATACAATACAAAACAAAACAAAATTCAATTGGCAAAAGCTATGGATGTTGTCTTGCCGTTGGTTGGTAAGCATTTAAAAACCGTGTTAATAAATAACTATGGAAGCGATTGGTTTCTTTCTTTTAAATTTTAATCAGCCAATGAAAATTGTTGCATTGCGAACAGTTTACTTTATTGTTTGCTATAAAAAATTGCTACGATTTGTCAGTTAACGTTTGTCATCATTATCATTAAGTGTAATATATTATGTGTATGTATGTATAGTGATTTGGCGCTCATTTCTTTCCAATGTTTCCTTTTACTTTATTTCATATGGTATTGGGATTTTTTGGAAAACTTATGGATTCAATGCACGTATTTCCGCAACGGCTCTACCGTGCATATTTCTATATACTTGCTATGCCTTCAAATTACAAGGATAATGCCTTTGTTAATGTTTTAATAGTTATCATTGTCTTATTTAAAGTTTAAATACAAATATAATATAATACGCCCTCAGCGTCTTGGCCTGCACGCAGGATAATCTTAAGAGTTAACATAATCCCTCTCTTTTTTTATAACAAATACATTACTTAGTTCATACAAAATTTAGTTTGCGTCTCATGGTTTTTTTTCTTTCTGCATTCTTTTTTTTGTATTTTTTTTTTTTGACAAGTTTACAAATCAAAAACTATGAAGATTTAAGCTGATTTGTACAAGACCAATACAAAATGTGTATGTGTGTATATGCATTTTGTCTAATATTCAGTATTGCAGTAAAACTAGTTATAAAAGTATATAGAAAGTTTTGTAAATATAGAAAACAAATTTTTTCCCCGTTTTTTAATAATAATAATTATAATATAATTACAACAAACTATACCTAACATAAATATATATATAATGTTTATATATATGTAATTGTGTATGTGTATTACAGTTGTCTTAGCTTACATGTTTATGATATATAAACTTGACATTTTACTTTCCAGTTGGGTTTTTTTTACTATTGCGTTAACATAGTTTTTTATTTTCGTTCTGCACAAAAACGAAAAAGATGATAATAATAATAGCTATAATATTGATACAAAAAAAATTGTACATAAGTTTTAAAACTTTGTATAATTTAATTGTAATATGATCAAGAAAAAAAACCGTCTCTTACTTTCATTTTGTCTATTACTTAACATAATCGTACTGAACAAAATTCGTTTATGTGTCACAGCACCACCATTTATTTTGTTATGATTTTTTTGTTTCTTTTGAAATTGTTGTAATCATTAAATGTATCTGTAAGAGTAACTTTCGAACGCCTATTGCTTTTTGCATGAGCTGCGATTGATGACGTCACACCTGCTACCAAAGACGATGCAGGTGTAGATTTCGTGATAATACCGAACGCACATCGTTGGTGAACCTCAAAGCGTCCAGGAAGGGCAGCAATGATAACAGTGCGGTGTCCATTGGGTCGGAGAACCAACTCTTAATGGGTATTGCATTGTTTGGAAAACAGCGATATGCACCCGGCGAATTGTCAATGATAAATATCTATGGATATGTCAATTATAAATGAAAGTGAATTTACAGAACATTGCGACGGACGCAATAACTAACCCTGTTCAAATCACTGCATATGGCTGACAAATCTTTGGTATAGGAGCCATAGTCGGGCGTGCAGTGTTGTCTGTAGTAGCGACGACGCAATATATTGCGGCCATTGTCCAGCTTGTCGGCCACAGCAGCGCCATAGATTTCCATGCTGGCCGTAAACACGACCAGGTCATACCATTGCGATACCTGTCAGTAAAAAGTATCATTCAATGATTGTACAATTAGGTTAAGTGTCAACATTAAAGATTCGCTCAACACTCGAGCCATCCAATACAAAGGAATAGGATATGCTGCAGCACTCACCACATCCAAAAAGTAATCCACATGCGGTCGCTTGTGCACGAAGAACCGCACTGGATGCCTGTCGATGGTCACCTTGACTGTGAAATCGTGCGGCGTGCCGGGCTTAACCGTATTCCTTGGCATTGCATTGTGATGTGAGTGTATCAGCGTTTCATCCAGATCTAGCACCAATGTTTTTCGCTGCACCAGACTGAGCCGATGTCGTGATACTGGTGACAGCGGGAACTGTTCATATTTAACCGGCTGATACTGGATAAACTAAGATAGTTAATTTATACATACATTCAAATAGTTTAAATTCACAATTGTTTTTGCATTTTCTGATTTCGATTCTTGAGCGGCTGATAAACAAAAATAAAACGAATGCAATGTGATTATTAGTTTCACGAGACACGAGTAAGTGTTGAGTTCGAATTTGATGTTCGAATCGCGAACTGCAGTTTCATAATGCACACTGAGCAGAGAGAGAGAGAGAGCGAGCGACTGGGCGAGAGATATTGAAAACTGGCAGACTACTCTCTGAATGAATATAGTCGATATGATAAAGGATTGAATGCGGATCGAACGCAAATGGATGACGGAGATGGTGAATAAAGGGAGCGAACAGTGTAGGGAGGGATTTGAGTGGTAGCTATTGCTTATCGCAGCCTTGACCAATGGGTGTCGTTTATGTATGTTATTCAATCGAGGCTAATGTGTGATAGCGCAGCACTACCACGAAAAATGTTCTCTAGCTCTAGCTCTTGGGTGGGTATGAGGGGTATGTAAGGGCAAGGTGGAGGGAGGGGGGAGGGTCGGGTCAGCGCTCTAAAACAAATCAGTTGATTTTAATTATTTTTCGATTTTTTGTTTTCTTTCTGTTTTTGTACTTACAGCGCGCACTTGGCGATTGAACATAAAACAGATGCATGTCCAGACTTTTGACAGCAGCAACAGCAGCGCATGGAATTTCATTTGCAACAACGAAATCATCGGTAAGAAGTTATCTTCTTACCAAACGGCCTATAAATTTCACTTTAGTTGCGGCTACGTTATCGGTGTCCGCGTAGTTCGTCACTTTTGTTAAAGGTGTTATAGTTAGCAATGTACAAAACTATATATATGAAACAAGAAACAAAAAAAAAAAACAAAACAGCCAAAAAAAAAATGTAAAATGACTGCAAAGAGTCACGCAAAAGCCAAATACAATGTGCCGGCTGCCGGACTACCAACTTTTTATTGCTATTGTGCTTTTGATAACGCGCTCAAATTGTTTTGATTGTATTGGTTTCGTGCTGTATTTTGCGGTATCGTTATCGATATCACACAATTATTGCTTTTTTGATACCTTTACACATACACATACACTCAATTAGCGAGAGGCGCGCAGGGATATAAAATCGATATTAAACACAATTGTAATGCCGAATCCTAAGAAGGATGTGATATATAATGCTCTTGTTTATGTTTGAACACATTCACATGCGTACATATTTATGTACTTGACGTGATTTTTTGTTATACTTCTTACACCTCCGTTGCACTTCTCATTTTGTTGCTGGTGTGTTGTTTTTGTTTTTGTTGTTGCTGGGCCTACTGCTGTTGTTGTTTCCGGCGCTGCTGGCAAACCTAAGAACTTCGTTTCCGTGTGTTTAATAGGCACCAGTGCTAAGAGTAAAATAAATTGTTGCACTCAGTTAACTTTCCACCATTAAACCTGGTCAAGAAATTCAATAAGATGTCGCGTCAAATAAACATTGCACTTTGATATTGAATAATCTCTGGGTTTTTGTTTAATAAATCGCACACTCACACTTGCATATTGCATACATACACACACACACACACGCATACACTCTTTTGATCAATTTGGCCAAAAGCCAGTCCAAAAAATAAATTGTGAAAATAAAAGAGAGATTGTCGCCGTGAGCGTGGTATTGTTATCGTGTTTTCCTATCGATATACATGATGTAGCCTTGTTTCTTTTTGCCGGTTGACAGTACTATCGGTAGACAAATGATATATTTTTATTGGAACAAAACATTGCATTGCGATATTAATTCATCGTTTAGTTTTATTTTTCTCAACATAAAATGTGTAATTGCCTTGTTTATTAATATGCATTATCTAAAAATACGTCATATTGGGGTACGACCAACCATCATACAAGGGTTAGAGTTAATGTCTAGTATATACTTAGTGTAGTATATAATGCCGTCAATACTTTCAAAAACAAAAGCTAGTTTCCTCAAGTGAACGGCATTATTTCGCACGTATAAGCACATCTAAAACACTAAATACGAAAAGAGCTTCGAACCACGCGTCTTCATGCATGGTTTGAGCGTGTAAGTACTATTTGAAGCATCGATAACTTATAATCGCCCGGCCGCTGTAATCGTTTAAAGCGTCGTTGACGTTCCTTACAATTCGCAAAAGTGGAAAGAAAAAGAAAAATTATGTAGACTTTTTGGCAAAAGTATATTAATTGCAAAAGTTCTGTTAAAACTAAGTTGTTTGGCCGTACACTTGGAATGCGTTCTCATCGATTGTGACACGCAGAACGATAAAGCCCTATTTTAATTATATATATATAATATATATGTTTATATATATATAAATATATTATTATATGTATATATATATATAAGTTTGTGTGTGTGTTGTACGTGTTTTAATGCGCTGGATGCGAATGTGAAGCCGCCTCGCATTGTAAGCCCGAATCTAAGATATTTTGTTGTTGTTTAAAGACAAGTCGGCATACTCCACATCCAGCCAACGAGTGCGAAAGCGAGTGCGATTGCGAGTACGAGTTCGAGTGGGGAGAGGAAGCGGCAGCATTGATTTGGATTTTCGTTCACAACCCGTTTTATAATAACCGCTAAAATTGTGGAAAAACAGGAGAAAACTCCCAAGCGGAAGAAGAAGGCTGCAGCCAGTAAAATGTCTGCAGTTTATTCGCCGCAACCGCCGCTGCAGCAGCCGCCGGCTCAGCATCCGCCGGGATCTGTGCAGTTGCCGCCGCCGCAAGCGCCGCCGCAGCAGCAGCAACAACAACAGCAGCAGCAACAACAACAGCCGCCTGGCACTGGACAAGGGCCGCCAGGTGGCGTTAATGTTGGGCCTATGGGACCAATGGGTGCGATGCGTGTTGGCCCCGGCCCCGTTGGCAATCCGGTCGGTGGCGTCGGCGTTGGCGTCATGATGGGCACACCACCCAATCCGAATGCCCAGCGTGGCGGCGTCCCAGCGCAGCAGGTAAACTCGGCCCAGATACAAAAGATGCTGGATGAGAATTGCGGACTGATCCAGGCCATACAGGACTTCCAAAACATCGGCAAATCACAGGAGTGCATGAGCTACCATGTGGCATTGCACAGGAATCTTGTGTATCTGGCCCAACTGGCCGATCCCCAAATGAACATTGCCCAAATTCTGCCGGTAAGCGGGCAAAACGGCAGAACAACACTCGTTAAATATTCAATGGTAACACAATTAATACAACAATTGCTTACATTTCGCAGCCGCCGCATTTATTGCAAACGCAGGCCATGCAACAGGGCAACCAGCCACCGACACCGCATGGTATGACTGGCGTACCGCCGCCTGGACAGCAACAGCAGGTGCAGGGTCAGCAGGGCACACCGGGTCCGCCGGGGCCACCGGGCAGTGTCATTCAGTCACAGATGATGCAGCATGCCAGCGACGCTGGCATTGGTCCCGTACAAATGCCGCCCTATCCGGGACAGCAGCAACAGAATACACATCCGGGAATGCCGCCAAACGCTCAACAGCAATCTCAGCAACAACAGCAGCAACAGCAGCAGCAACAACAACAGCCAGGCCAGTCGTTGCAGCAGTCGCCGCAAGTTAGCCAAGCCGGCCCACAGCCACAGGCCGCATATCGCAACGTACAGGCCGGCGCTGGCCAGGCTCAAGTCGTCGCCAATGCAGCGCCCAGTAAGTGTAAAGTGTACAATGCGAGCAGCAATCACACTGCGTCTGCAACTATTTTTCTCCTTTTAACAAACGCACTCCTTGATTTGTTTTTCTTATGTTTTTGCAGATCAACAGCAGCGGCCAAACAATGGACCGTTGCCTCCCGGACAGAGTCAGGCACCGCCATCCCAACAACAACAGCAGCAGCCGCCCAACCAGCAACAGCAGCCACAACAGGGTCCGGGATCGGTGCCGCCACCACAGGCACAGTACCGGGTCAGCTATCAACAGCAGCAACAACAGCAGCAGCAGCAACACGGCCATTATCCGGGCTATCCGCCGCAGTCGCAGCCGCAGTACCAGCCACAAAATGCGTATCCGTATGGGCCACCCGGCCAGGGCTATGGTCCACCGCCGCCAAATGCTCAGGCTGCATACCATCATGCCGGCATGCCGCCAACATCGACAGCAGCGGGCGGACAGGGTGTCGTACATGCCTATCAACCAAATCCTAATGCTGGCGGTGCGGCTGGCGGGAGTCAGCAGCAGCAGGCGCCGCCTCCAGGTGCATACCCGCCACCACCACCCGGGCAGCAAGTGGCGCCCGGGCAGCAACCGCCACCGCCGCCAGGACAAATGTACGGGCCACCACCAACAGCTGGCGGACAGGCAGGACCACCTGGACCGCCTGGACCACCGCAAAGTGTGCTGCCCAATCAGTATGGGCCGCCGCCACCTCAAAATTCTGGTGCAGTGGCGCCCGGACCGCCACCCATGGGCTATGCTGGCTATCCGCCTAATCAGTACGGGCAGCAGACTGGTGCGTCCGGTGCACCGCCTGGCAACTATGGACCTCCGCCGCCATCGAGCCAAGGACAGTCGCCGTACCAGGCGTACCAGCAGGCTGGCAGCGCACCACCTGGCAGCTATCCGGGTCAACCGGTGCCCTGTCCACCAAACGCTCAGCAGGTTAGCGTGGCGGGAGCAAATGCTGGACCACCACCACCACCGGCCAGCTATAGCACAGCGCCCAGCCAGACACCACCGCCGCCCCAGCAGCAGCAGCAGCAGTCGGTGCCCAATCAGCAATCGGGCAATCCAAATGGACCCAACACGCCTCAATCGACGCCTCCGCCGCCAACATCAGTCAGCGGTGTGCCGCCAAATCAGCAGGCGCCCGGAGCGGGAGCTGCCCAGCAGCAACCGCAATATGCGCCGCAACAACAACAACAGCAGCAGCAACAACAGCAGCAGGTATGCAAAACAACAACAACCAATTGTCCCCATGAAAGATATATGATAAACTCATCCGACTCGTAACTTGTGAGTTTGTTAAGGTTAAGGGACATGAGTACAGGGTATAAGAGGAGGAACACTCTTGCGCACTCTTGGAAAGCCCCTTTCTAACCAATATATATTGCAGTGGACCGAATTAGGATTAACTAAGATTTTGAAATTCATGAGCGCAATTGGTTGAACTCATTTCTGATTCAGTCCTCCACCAGTGTCAAGGAATTGAGCAGAATCCAAAGCAATGCCAAATGTCTGTCGATGCTGCAGTCGACAACCGTCTTTCCTAACCTAACCAGTCCAGTGTATAAAAGCAAGCCAAGACACGCTGCTAATCTGTCTCTCTCTCTTTCTGCCTGTCGTTTTAAAGCCGCTGCAGCAACAACAACAAGGACAGCCGGGTCAGCAGCTGAGCGCCGTTGTGTCTGGTGTATCACCGTTGTCCACACAACAGCAGCCAACATATTCGACGCCTCCCACCAGCGTAGCTGGCTATGGAACACCACAGCAGCAGCAGCAGCAGCAACAACAGCAGCAACAACAACAGCAGCCACAGGGTGGTCCACCACCACAACAGGGCGGACCACCGACCGGGGGACCACCGAATTCGAGTGCGCCATCACAACCGAATGGTGCAACGCCACCAATGGCACCAAATCAATATCAGCCAGCGCCTGGTGCCCAGCCGTATGGAGCACCACCGCCACCGCCGCCACAGGGCTATGGACCGCCGCCGCCGGGCAGCGCCTATCCGGGCCATGGCTACCATCAGCCGCCGCAGGCTGGTGGCTATGCTCAGTATCCGCCGTCGCAGGGCTATCAGGGCTATAGGCCGGCGCCGGGCGGTGCACAGATGCCACCACCGGGCGCGCCACAAGGACCGCCGCCAGCGGGCGCATATGGCTACTATGGTAATCAGCCGCCACAGTGAATACTCGGTGGCAACGATTTACTACGAAATGCGTTTAAAATATGCTAGCAACAATAACTGAGAAAAACAAAAACAAAACAAAAGAAATCAAAAAAACACACACGCACCACTAAATGTTCCTTCTCGCTCTATCGTTACTGTTCCTCTCCCTCTCTCTCTCTCTTTCTCTCTCTACACCTTCCTATCCGTCTCTCTCTCTCTCTCCTCCCATTTCCCCCACTCTGTCTCTGTCTTGTGGCATTTGCGAAAGATGCGTGTGCTGCGTGTGTACGAAAAAATGTTCGAAGCATAAGAATATTCTTCGATAAACAGTTAGCCTTAGTTTGTATTTGTATTTGTATTATTGTAATTGAGCCGAGCGTCGAGACGCGTCCATTAGGCATATAACTCTACCATACACATGCGTACATATATACATTCAATTAATACTTCCTACTACCTACCTACCAACCCCACATATATATATATATACGATTTAATTTCTGTACTGGTTTTAAATGTGTGTTTGCTTATTTATTATTATTATTTTTTTTTTTTTGTAGTAAGATTTTGACTTGAACCGATTGTAAAAGGTGACACTATAATTGGTGTTTGTTTTTAAAATACAAATTCACAATATACAATTTACAATTTATAAATTACAATTTGCATGCTGCATTCAAGCGTAAGAAATATGAGAATAAACAAGATTTAAGTAGTATATAATGATCAACAAATATTCCATTCACAACAAACCAACAACAACAAGAATAACTCAAAACTATTCAACAACACAGCCAAGGCTTTGTGTGTGTGGACGATGAGTGTATTATGCGGCTGTTGTCTGCTGTCTTGTCTCAAAAGCATTATGGCGCTCACTAAACTCTACTCTACCCTATTCTACATAACTCTACTCTACTCTAGTTGTAATTGTAAGCTGAAAGAACTAACCGATGCTCGATATACTATATACATACTATACATATATCGCCATCGATAGCATTTATATCAATTGAAACTGTATTTAAAAACAAACAAAAAAAGAAAAGAAAAAAAAAACAGCAATTCGCACACATTCTACAAAAAGTGTTACACTTGTTAAATGGGTTTATCGTATCCACGTCTAAATCCCTTCTGTATATTCCTGCCAAAAATAAATCAGCTGCATACGTATGTCTCTCTCTCTCTCTCTCTCCCTTTCTTTTTCTCTCGCTCTCTTCACGGACACGGACAGAGCCGAAAATCATTTGAAATGCATTTTGCTGAAAATTGCAGCATTTTGAGTATTTGACACTTTTTGCAGAATGTGTGCGAAGTGCTAATGCTAAGTAATAGATACGATTATTATTTAAAATACTTACATGTGTAAATGAAGATCAAAACAAAAGCAAAATGCATTCAATAAAGCAACGAGCTGTCTAATTTCACTTGTTTTTTTTTTATTATTTTCAAACAAAGAATTTATTGATTTTGTGCAATGGCTTGACTTGTGACTTGCAATATACTTGTATAAAATCAAACAATTTTGGATACATTATAAAATGCTGATCACATATATATGAAAGATCTACAGAAACCGTAGAAATCTAAACTTTCCACTGCATTAGCTCAAGTCAAACAAAATGTATTATTATAAAAATCATATCAATTATTAGAATTTGTATTTGAATTTCTTTGGTTAAAAATGAAATTGTTTCTTTGGTATATGGTTGCCCAACCAGAATCTGTAAAATACACAACAATGTTGGACACAATATAATCTGAGTTATAAGCAAACCAGAATTTGGTTTTATAAAAAAATACAAATCTATATTTTATCTAGCTTAGACTGAACTCCCCTTCAGAAGCCGCAAGTGGCAGATGGTTGATTTGATAAATAACACATATTTATTGTATTTAGTATGTGGACATGAACGTGCGAGCGTTTTATTTATTTAGGACATGCCAAACGACTATTGTACTTTGGAATATGTTGTTGTTTTGTTCATTCTTTTTGTTGTTTTTAATACAGCTAACCAAAAATGAGGTGCTGCTGGGGAGTATATCATCTCTGCTGTCTCAGTGTCTTTCTCCGTTTATCACATGTGCGTCGGCGTATTGCAAGATGATTGCTTTTCCGACTGCTTCTTGTCGTCCGTCTCCTCGTCCTGATTCGCTGCCTGCTGCTGATTCTGTTCGGGTAAGGCAGTTGGAGTTGGCTTTGCGGCACGATTGGTTAGCTTGTGGAAGAGTTTGCGCAGAAGATTGCGCGGCATGGTCGTCTGGCGCTCGACAATGATCAGCTTAGTGGCGACACTGTGAATGGGCCCAAAGGCCAATGCCACCACGGTGCACGCCAAACATATCACATTGTATGGCATGCTGAAGTCGGGCGTGGGCAGTGATACAATTAACGCCTCAGTGCGCAATGTCAGCGTATAAGCCGGCCGCGAGGCATTGTACGAGTCCCTGAATAGATGCCCCTCAAGCGGCAGGGCCGTATAATTGCGACCCGTTGGCAGCTGACTGCTAATGACGGCAGCACCAATATAATGTCCATGATTCGCATCCGGCGGATACTCCAACCATTTCAGCAGCAAATAGTCCACCTCAATGGTAATCAGAGCGCTACTGCGTGCGGGCAGCATAAATCCAATCTCAAGATGGGTGGACAGCTCACGCTGTTTGCCGGGCGCATAATGCAGCAAACTGAACTTCAGCTCCTTGGCGCCGTAATCGTGCCGGTGTTGCGGCTTGCTGCGTATGCGTAACGTGTGCAGATAGGCGTACACATACCAGGGCACCAGCTCCATCACGATGATGGGCAGGGCGTCGAAATGTGTGTTGGTTATTTCGGTGGCAATGCGTCCGCGCTTCTGTCCATTGCCCAGCAGATAGCGATGCGCATATAGCGGTGGCAACGATGCTCGCTCCTTGTTGCTGCCACTGCTGCTGCTGGACTTCGGCCCCACCCAGGCAATGTTAAAGAGCCGTGCACCTGGCCCTTCAAACTGTTCCTGCATATCGTACACAGCGTAGATGGCCGTGTAGCCGCCACGTGTGCTGGTAACTTCGTGCTGTGGCGGCGGCACCAATTGAAACTGTTCACCTCGCTCACTGCGTTGCACATAGATCTTACTGCTGCTGGCCAGCTCACAGTTGCCATTGAGGCCCATGCCGAACAGGCGACGCAATGAAAAATCTGTGCTGCTCTGCTCGAGAAGCTTTAAATCGTACACCAGATTGGCCGTTTGGGTTAGCTCCACGATGCAATTGTTGGGATCATCGGTGTCGCACAGAGTGCGCACCTTAACGCCCAACGAATGATATTTTGTGTTGTGGACATAGCCAGAATTGAGCAGCGTGGCCAAGCCCGAAGCACTGCCACAGGGCAACAGTTTCTTCCATGGCGTCAAATTCTCCGTGCAGACAATTTCGCGCGGCAGTGTCGCGTAGCGCACAAATTGTTGACTTCGATTTGCCGTGTGCATAAACTGTGGACGGAATATGTGCTTGGGCGCAATCGTATTGGTATTGTCGACGAAATTCAGGGAGACACAGAGCACGCCCGAGAACACGTTGGCCAGTTGCATCCATTGTTTGTCCACATCATCATTGCTCAGATTTGGTGCACTAAACCAGGCCCACATTTCGGCACCGCCAGTTGCCTCCACAATCGGATAGCCCCAACTCTCGTAGCGCCACAAGCCTTGCGTCAGACCAATATGCAGCTCCTTCACATCGTACGTTTGCAGCACTTCGGCGATGACGCGCGGCGTCAGCTGTGTGTGATAAACTAACAGCCAGCATGTTTTCAAATGTGCGTCCGTGTGTATGTGTGTGTGTGAGTAGTGTGTGAGCTGCTGCTATATTACTTACGATTGTTGCGGGTGCCATAGTGCCAGCGTGTGGTGAATTGGAAATACGTGTTTACATGGTCGCCGGCAAGCGGTCGCACCACCAGCTCTTCATGGAATTGCTCATCGGTGAAGTGCTGGGATTGGGGATTGATCAATGCCACAGCCGGGGGCGCAAGCGGCATGAACACCAGCAGCGGCAGCAGCAGCAAGAATGCCAATGCAGTAATCATTTAGAAGCCGCAACAGCAATAAATACTCATTAATAATACTATGTAATTATCGTACAAATTAAATAAAGGTATGATGCGTTATCGATATATCGATATCATCTGTCTTGCATCTGTTTTTGTTTTCATAGTTGTCATCGGCTAAATAGCTTTACTTTGTCTATTCTCAAATACAGTATTTTTTTAGTAAATATCGAATCGATTAATTTAAGCAATATTGAATGGTAATACATGTAATGTATATATGAAATAGCCAATTGTGTGGATCTTGTAAGTATCAATATACTGGGATTTCACTTGGAATAACATCTTTGCACATCTGGCCATGATCGATTTTAATTATGAACATCAGTTTTATTCAATTAGTGCATTGCCTTTACATTTGCTTCATTTTAAAGTTATATATTGCCAATTTTCGAATATTGTAACATCAGCGATAGGCAGCTGCAGCCGAGTTTGCATTTATTATACGGGCACACTGACTTGCTCAAAATAAACGATGCCAATGCACTCGAATGCGTTGCAAAATCATGTGTTATGTTAATATGCTGAAAGGAGCAATAAAAACACGTTTGTAGCTGTTTGATTTTATGCTTGTTTATTTATAAATGCTTCCCCAGATCCAACTGGCTTGCACACAATCGACTGTAGGCTATATTATATATATTTATATATATATATATCTATTTCATAAAATGTACGTGGCCAAACACCTAAGCTTGTATTTATTTATGTCTGCAAAATATAATTTTGTTATTTCGGTTAGAAATTCAAATAAAGTGTGACGACAACAAGAACAAATGTGATTCTAAACCGTCAGTACCAATTTGTTCATCGGTGTTTGTTGAGCAATTATGCAATATTAGTAGTTTCGATATGAATTCTTGCAGTTGAAACTCGATTCGATTGTTGCAATATAGATGCAGCGGTCACACCGATCTGATGGCAGTGTGACCGCTCGCGACATCTATCGTGTACTACGTTGGGTCACACTGCTTACTCAGGGTTGTCAGTTGTTAGAGAGCCGAGCGACTGTGAAGACGTCCGTGTGTGCTCATACAGTGCTCTCAGAATTTATATTTTTGGTAATTTTTTTTGCTTCTGGTATAAATTTATAAGTATTTTAAACAACAAAATCACGATAATTAAAGAAATTAACGCCGCAATAATTATTAATAAATAAAGAACTAGTTCAACGAATAATGCTAAAGGAAACAATTTATGCAAATTTCAGGCAGTTTTTTCCCCTACTGGCAGAGCAGCAAGCAAACAAAAGACAAAAAAAAAAAAAACAAAAAAAAATGCAATTCCACATTGCCGCGCGCACACTGCAAGCAGCCACACAAGAACAACAACGATGAAATGCTTGTTTTGTTGTTAATATTACATGAAATTAAATGTATGAATCTCGTCATGAAACGAAAACGAAAACAATAAACGTTCTCGGAAGCGACTCACATTTTTTGGCGATTGTACTTGGCACATACATAAACATATATTTAATAGCTACACATACATACATATATATATATAAATATATTTATATGTACATATATATGCGTGTGTGGATGTGTATGTATATGGGAGCAATTAATAAACATTGAAATATTTATGTTGGCTAAATCACAGTTTTTAATATATACATACACATATATATATATGTACATGTATATATATATAATTGCCACGAATATGAACAAATAATTATATCTAACCAAAGAGAAAAAAGCGTTAGCGTTTCTTTCATACAATTGAAAAAGAAATTGAAATTCGCGGAAGACAACACGACGACGATGAAGAAAGATTTTTACTCGCGTCGCGGTATACTTCAACTGTTTTTGAACTTTTATTGCGTTGCTGCTGAGCAAGAGCGCCAACTACAAAAGTCGCGCTGCGCAGCGGCCAACAACAACAAGTCGCCGCAACCAAAAGAAAAACAACGATATGAAAACGTGCGTGCGAGTGGAAAGTGTTGAGAGAGCGAAAGAGAGAAAGAGCGGGCGACTTTAGCATGCGCGATGTGCTGCGCTCAAATGTTGCCCTTGTTGTCGTCTACCTCTCTGATGGATGTATGTGTGTGTGTGTCGCGTCGTTTTCGCCTTCGCCGAGCTACGCGCTGCTTGCTCAGTGTGCGCGTATTCCGTTTATCGCCGCCGTCGCCGTGTACTCACTGATTTTTCCATTTGCCATTGTATTCGCAGCGAACTCGCCGCTCGTAGTCAGTCAGCCAGCCTAACCTAACCTACTGCTCCATACATACACACATATGTATATGCGTATGTGTGTGTTTATGTGTATATATTATGTGTGGCTGTTGTTCATTGTCTTCGCATAGTTTGCTTGCCGTTTTGCCAGTATTTTGTATTTTATCTAGCACACTTCTGTTAATTATTTGCTGGCGCAGTTATTTTTTTTAATACATATTCAATTTAATATCAATTATGCCAATTTAGCAAAAGCGTCAAAAGTCATAGCAAAGCAAAATACATACGTACATATGACAGACAGACACACAGAGTTAGTCACCGTTGTTTGTTTGCCTGTACAAACCGAAATAGCTGAAATCAGGAATCATATTATAGAAAACGTATGTAAGAATCATCGCAACCCATAACAAAAAGAAAAGTGTACAAATACAAATACAAAAGCAAAAGTAACGGAAAGTTCGTAAACGACACATTATTCCTCTGCCCGCTATTGCTGGTTGGTCGGTCGGCTTTGTCTCGCCCCAGCAGCAATCACAGCGGAGCGAGCGAAAAGGCAAAAACAACGGCTGTTCGCCGAGCAACAGCAGCAGCGCAATAGTCGTCGTCACGAACATATTTGAGAGCAGCGCTCAATCCAAGAGAGTAGCGCAAGCAAATTACAAAACGACGCGCGACCTACTCTTAAAAAAAAGGTGATTTTTTTTTTCGTTTTTCTTAAATTTGTATTATTTATCATTATTCTTTTAATTTCCGTTTTAGTTTATACTACATAGTTGTAACTCCTCTGTAGGCTAACAAACTTGTAAATTAGCTTGTAAGTTTATTAATTGAAAAATCCGCAGCACCGACAACAAAAACACCATGAAAAAAAAACCCCCAATAAAATTAGCAGAAATCAATCCATACATCATACGTTCAAATATAATATGATCAACAACAACAACAATTTGTATCTGAAGACTACACGTTTCTGCGTACGGAATATTAAAAAAAAAAAATTAATGAAAAACTCAAGTTAAATAAACGTAATTTTCATTGCCTCTTTAACAAACGAAATACAAAAGCAATTACGCTCTTCGCTCTCTCTCTCTGTCTGTCTTTTGCTCTTTACACTTCCTCTCGCTAGCAGCTAGTTGCCGATTTTTTTACACACATTTGTATTTCATAACGACTGCGGCTGACAGTCATCATCACATGTGTGAAAATCGTCATATATATATATTCATATATATGTATGTGCGTGTGCTTAGCCAATTAGCCTTGTTGAGCTGAGCAAAAGAACATATCTTAGCGCCGAAATAAATAAATCAAATGTGGCCCAGCGCCCACAAATTACATGTATGGATATTCAAAGCAAAGTAAAATGCATTGAAATCGAAATGCGCCATTTCGCCTCAAATTCAGAAATGTGAGCGCCGCGTCATTTGTCGTTGTCGCTTTGTAGCGCGTCCAATCGTTTCGTTCAATCACAAATTATATTAAGGTGCGCTCTCACTAGCTGCCAGTGTTGCCGCACGTGCGTTGCGCTGCCTTTTCAGACTCACACAAATGCGCGTATATGTAATTTCCTGTCTGCGTCTGTCCTCTGTGTGCTTAAGCAGGCGAAGAATTTATTACCCTTGTTGGCTTCGCTGCTCCAAACGGTAAATTTGCAACAGTGAGTAATATTTAACAACGCAAATAATTGTGATGGGAGAGTCAGAAAGAGAGAGAGAGAGAGAGAGAGAGAGTGTGATGGGCAGTTGACCAATCACATCAGTTTCCCTTGGAGATCTGCATGTGTTTGTTTGTTGCGGGTTTATTTTTGCTGGGTTGCAACGTTTTTTTTTTTTGGTTTTATTTGTTCTTTAGGTTTTGTCAAGGGCATTCAACCTCTTCTACAGCTTCAGCTACAGCTGTGTGGAGTGTCCAGCATTTGCATTCGATTTTTCTAGATGATTGCCGATTCATCTTTGCCTCTGCTACATACATACATATATGTATATGTAGGTGACGTCAGATTGACCGCTTTGCCTGCCCAAGAGCACGTTGGCTATTTTTATACAAGAAAAAAAAGCCCCAGCTACATTGAGTTGAGCATTTGTATATGTGCCTACGTACATGCATGCATATGTGTGTGTCGCTGCTGCTGCCATCGCCGCATTCGCATTCCTCAAATAATTTCGTATTTTATAATGGGGGAAAAAATAGCCAAACGATATATACAATAACAACAACAGCAGCAGCAGCAGAGCACATCGCATTGTCGCGCACACACACACACATGCATATGCCCCTATACCCACACAGCGTAAGAGGCAAACTCATATGGCGGCTACGGTCTACTCTTGCTCTGCTGCTGCCGTCGCCGCCGCCGCCCGTCACCTCGTTGACCCAGCTAATTTTTCGCTGGGCCCTCTGCCGCGTTTTCGAGCTAAACGCTCGGGCCCGCGCTGGCGGCAGACTGAATGTTTTCATACGTTCGAAATTTCAACGAACTTCGGTTTGTGACCGTCAACCACCGCTGCCGCTGTCGTCGTCGACGTTTATTCTCAATTCGCCGCAGCTCTCTTTTGTAGCTTTGTAGCGCGTGATTGTAGCTATACAGCGATAGCGACAGACACCGCTCAACATACTAACAAGTTTTTCGCCGCAAATCTCTCATTTCACGTTTCGTCTCTCCCATTCACACATGCATTGTACGTATACTCATTTTCATTATCTTTGCCTTTGCTGTTGCTCATTATAGAAGCAGTCGGCTTTAGCTATGGTTCTGTTCTTATTTATACATATGTATATATATATATATATGTATTTAAATTTTTATGAAATTATTCTAAATGACATATCCACAAAATACACAAACACACCATGTACATAAGAATCGGCTTTACTATTCACACATACATACACATCTATATAAATATGTTCGCTCTGAATATTTGCAGACGAGAACATGTGTATGTGTGTGTGTGTGTGTGTTTAAGTTTACTTTTGCTTCCGTTAATCAAACATACAAAAATGTATATGCATGTGTGTCAATTTTAATAGTGGTGTAATAGTGTTTTTTGTAGGTGGGGCTGCGACTGTCACTTCTTTTTTATTTAGCTATGCTGCTTGTTTCGCTACACACATGCATATGCTCATATATATGAGTGTGTATGCATATGTATGTGTACACACGTAAAGAGAACATCAGTTGTATAACACAATAAATAGTCAACAGTGTGCAGTGCATCTATTCACCTGTCATCGTTGCTGCCGCCGATCATCCTCCCTCTGCTCCATCCATCCCCCTCTATTATTCATATGTATACATATTCAACAATATGTATGTATGAATGTGTGTATGTACACGTGTAAATGTAACTTCCGTTTGACAAATCTGTTACGTACACATGCACAAGTCAAATACAAATTGTGGCGTAGCTACACTGTGTGTGTGAGTGCTTGTCACATTCACAGTCGCACTTATCGCTAATTTCTGTAGCTGTTCCGCTCTTCACACATGCATACAACAAATGTATGTTGCTTGTATTTGTGAATGCATGGACATGTAATCGCTAGTTCTGCTTTGTATTTTGCTTTATCATCCCATGCACACATGTAGCGTGTTCTTATGTGCATGCACATATACATGTGTCATGTGTACTTGTGTATGTTTTTATGTGTTTTTTTTTCATATTCCTCCTTCAATAAATTTGGGCCATTAAAATTTAAATTTGGTGCGTTCATACATACATACATATGTATGCAAATATTACATTTATATTGTGGCATCGTTTCTGTAACAATTTAAGGATTACGTGTAGATATGATTATTTTAATTATATTTACATACATATGCATATGCACTGATTTTAAAAATATTAACTAGAGCATGTCAAGCGGTGGCATATTTTCATGCACACACACACACATAGGGAGAGAAGAAGCGCGCTCGATAGCGGAAATATCGATCCATGTCGTCGTCTCGAACTTGTGTGACTCTCTCAGTTGGCTGGCAACGAGAGAGTAACGACAGCAACAGCAACCGCATAACAGAAAATTGCGCTGCTGCTCACCGTTGTGCCAATGATCATGCCCGAATATTCAATTCGTTTTCAAGTTTATTAACGAATGTTGTCGTCGTCGTTACAGCTATTAACAGCTCAAAATTTGTTCTTTTTTTCGGCAAATGATCGATACTGAAACGAGAGAAAGAGAGGAGGCGAAAAGAAAGAGACTAAAGAGATAGAAAGCAAAAGCACAAATCGCTTGCAAATAGTTCG